AAATTATGAAATTGATATAAGAGATATTAATAATAATAATGAAAGTGTATCTTCAAGTATTTATTATAATATCAAATAGTTATTAAATAATTAATGTTTTAATATTATATAATATAAATTTTTGAGGTGGCTTAAAAGAAGGGTAGCTCGAAAGTAGGATACCTGATTTATCTTATAATTATTATTAATTATACAAGTAGTTTTAAACTAATCAAACAATAGTTTTCGTATTAATTAATCTACAAGCATTCATGTCTTTCACATTATAATTCATAAGAGCTTCCCGTATATAATTACTATAAGTAAGTGAATCATTTATAACAATCAGATTGTCTGTTACGAACGGGTAACATTGGATCACGTGACGAGTGTCATGTGACAGGACGTTGGAGCCTTTGGAGCTTAGGATCCAAGGGATCCAAGTAGAACAGAACCATGGGTTTCGTAGAGCAGGAAGGTCTATATAAAGGAATGAGTTTCATTATAATGTAGAGCTTCGTGCTCAAGAACAATCATTAGTTTCATTACTATAGTTACGAGAATTGCAACCAGTTACAACCTTATTGAATTCCTACTTGAAGTCTAGTCTAAACCACCTCGAGAGATCTCTAGACACTTCCACGTGACCCTAGAGGCAGCTCCCGTAACATTGTCCTACACGAATTTCTACAATCTATTAACAAAGCTTATGTAAAAAGCTGCTCTACCTGGACGGATCTTAATAAGGACTGTTGCAAAGTTAAAAGCAATCACAAACTCCAATCTTTTCGAAAGCAATACCTCTCTGATCTATGATGTCAATAATAAATGTTGATTTTACTCTGACAATAATCTTAATATTTTACGATAGGTTCAATACATTTATTGATATTGAATCTTGTATTGTCTTCTCCATTCTGAAGCTGTTCAGAATTGACGGCTTACATGCCCGTTATATAATCGCATAATCGTATTAGTGAATTCTCTTTATCGATATGTACATAGCTAGCTCTTTAGATAAAATACGATATTGATCATAAAGACCCACCATCGTAGATAGGCTGCGCACAAATTATCTATACCTATAGATTATCTATAAATAATCCACTCTATAGATTATTCGTTAGAGGTTCTATTTACTTTATAAATTATTTATTGAAACTTTAAAATTATTTATTTCGTACGCATAATCTATAGATTATTTATAGATATATAAATTATCTATAAATAATTTGCGAATTATTTGTAAATAATTTATAAATAACGTAACGTATGGGGAACTCGGACATATGGGGAACTCGGACACTTTTTCAATTATTCTACACGCGATCTTGTTCTACGAGCCACACAATCCTCCAATTCCAATTCCGAATCACTTGAACTATTCTCTAGCTCTTCTTCTTCAATCTCTTCTTCTGATTCTTCAATTGGGCGTTTGCGTGGCCGTCCTCGTGGCTTTTTCTCCTTCGGTTTTTCCTCCGCCTCACGTACCATTTTCAATACTTCCTTAGTACTAAAGACAAATTGACCTTGTAATTTGACTCTTTTGCCTTTAGTTCTTTTCTTTCGAGTCTCAATTACCTCCTGAGCATCAGAGAGCTGTTTCCGAAGTAGGGCTATCTCAGCATTTTGAGATTCTACAAGCCTAGTCATTCTCTTGGCATATCGACGAGTTGGCGATGCAGGAGAACCACTGCTTGCTAGAGCTGTATTAAAGATCTGATTTGCTTGCCTTAATTCTGTTCCATCTGGAGGAGAACTCCTGAGTATAGACAAGTCTAGGTCTTGATTGGGGGTTCTCATTTGTGGAGTAGAAGGTTGCTGGGAGGAGTTAAATGGTAATGAATCGAGTACTTTTCGTGGGGCAAAAGGTACTAAACCAGCTCCTCTCCAGCCAGCTTTAATATTAGAAGAATTCAATGCTTTTTTTCTAATATTTTGAAAGAGTTCTACCCATTCAGCTCTTTGGATTCGCTTTACACCAGCTCGAGAATATCGATCGACCTCTAAAGCATGATATCGTTTCATTGGCCCATACACCGCAATATCAAGTGGCTGAAGCAAGTGAGAGCAATGAGGAGGTAATATAAGTAAATCAATATCATTATCTATACAGAAAGCAATAAAGCTACCTGTAATATGGCTTGAATGGCCATCCATGATCAAAAGTCGAGGTCGGTCACCTGACACTTTCTTGGATTCTGGTTCGAAAACCCTTTTTAACCATTCTAATCCATGGCTATTTGAGGTCCATCCATTTGTACTAGTAGAGAACTGCCAGCTTTGAGGTGTGTCCTTTGGAATCCATGCAGAATTCGTATTCTGAGCCTTGAAAATGACCATAGGTGATAGAGCATTTCCAGCTGTATTGACACATTCAAATGCAGTTATCCATTCTTGCTTGCCAGCTGTAACTTTCCAATTCGATTTCTGAGTAGAATCGACTATAATGCGCGTACTTTGAGTACTTCCAACTCCAAATCCGGTTTCATCCATATTATACATATCATCTAATTCATACTTTCGCTCAATGAGACGCGTGCGAAACGCGTCAAACCAAGCCTGAATATTCTCCGGAGTTGCTTCTTTAGCCCGATTAGACTCTAATTGACGTGAATAGCATGTTTTAAGTTCTGGATGTCGTTTTTGGAATCTATAGATCCATTCGTGGCCTATAGGTGGAATTTCTGTCGAGGTAGGATTTCGAGATGACGCGACCCGAACGCGTCGAAGACGAATTTCGTCGGCCATTTCCTTCACCAACATAGGTGTAGCAGGGAATCCAGTGATGGTAAGTCGTGAAATCCATCGTACAAGAGTATTTTCTTCTGCGTTTGAAAGAATTTGAGCCATTTCGTGGGTTTGGGAACGTGTTTTCTTCCCAGCCAGCCTATCAGCTAGGGTAGACTTAGGGACTTCAAAATGCTCTGCAGCCTTTCTAATTGATTTAAATTCTTTCAATTGAAGTGAAATTATAGCCTTTTGAAGCTTCTCTTCAATTTGAGCAGATGTAGAAGGTGATTGGGTATGCATAATAAAAGTTATTGCGGTTTCAAGTTGGTGATGGGCTAAAAGTGTCCGAGTTCCGCATATGTCCGAGTTCCCCATACGTTACGTTATATAAATTCTTCATTTTTTTTGTTTAAAATATAAAGCTATTCCTAGATTATTTTCCAGCTCAAAAATAATTCAAGTTTAAATTTATATTAATTTTTATATTAATTATAAAATTATATTAATATTATAAAAGATTATAAAATTATATAATATATAAATAAATAAATATCTATAAGTAATTTATACTTATTCTATAGATTATTTGTTTAGATTCTGAATTATTCACTCTACAAACGAATTATCCGCGGATTATCTATCAAAGCCATTATCTGCCCTATGGGTACTCATTGCGCAGCCTAATCGTAGGTAGTACTTCATCTGTACTCTTCTCAAATCAACAACATTAGTACGAGTACTATTAGTAGTAGTACAAGAATTTCAGAACATGATTTACAATCATTAAACTCTGTTAATAACTTGACTGAGTTCTAATCACATCGAAACGCTCAAGTTTGAGCGAGCCGATCATAGATTATAGTGATTTTGATTAGCTTTATATCTGATTACATAGTATCTGAATTTGGATTATGTGATCAAACATCAAATAATCAAAGTGATGAGGATAGAAGTGCTCGTAATGGAAGACACTCGCTCTCGCAAATGGGGATCTTGTCTCCATTGTTCTTCGATAAATATACAAGCAACGGTGAACGCGATAGGTAGGTCATATGTATCTAGAAAAAACACCTAAAATTCCGAGAATCTGGTTACTTCGTGAAACTTACATGCTGTGGCAGTCTACCGCCAGTTTCAAGAGTGATTTAAACCGAGTTTGGAATAAGCCTGAGTACTCGAAATTCGAAGAAATAGAATAGTAGTAGAATGAAGCGGTGTGGGGAAAAGCGTGGAAGATCAGATTCGAAGTGGAAGAGGCACATTAGGCCTGAACTTGATGATTTCGAGGTGGGAGGAGGGGCTAGGATAGATTAAAATGAATACTTATGGGGAAAAGAGGTGTTATGGTTGTGTAGGCTGCGCAACGGGTACCCGCGGGGTGGATAATGACCTCAATAGATAATCCGCGAATAATCTATCTATAAAACAAATAATTCAAAATCTGAATAGATAATTTATAAAACGAGTACAAATTACCTATAAATATCTACCTATTTATATATTATATAACTATTTATAATTTTTTATAGTATTAATATAATTTTATAATTAATATAAAAATTAATATAAATCTAAGTTTAAATTACTTTTAGACCAGAAAATAATTTAGAAATAGCTTCATATTTTAAGCGAAAAAAACAGAGAATCTATATATCCACAAATTATTTATAAATAATCTATATATCCGTAAATAATCTATTTATTTATAAATAGATAGATAATTTATAGATAATTTATAGATAATTTTAAAGCTTTAATAAATAATTTATGGAGTAGGTAAAACTTTTAATGAATAATTTATAGAATGAATTATTTATAGATAATCTATGAGTATAGATAATTTGTATGCAGCTTATGATTATGGAATGACTCAAAAAGTGATTTGGAAGTTGTTTTCGACTTTTGCAAACTGAATGCGCATATATTCGTGATCTTGTAAGGGGCCATGGAATAAGCTGCCTGACAAGAGAATTGGAAAAATGTGTGGATAAAGACGAGTATCACAGTATGTCACAAAAAACAGATCTTGAGACTAGATCTGTCTATTGTACTCGTAAAGCTACTAAAGTAATGCAAGGGGTTTTTCTTGCTTTTGAAAAAGAGATGAATATTATACTTCTTGAAATTTCCGCTATACCACATCCTAGCCTTCTACGCGCATCCTAGCGGTATCCCAGCGTTTTTTCACTTCTGCTTCCATAGAGATACTCAAATCCCACATCTGACCTATGCTCGTGTGTATTTTTATCTCATGAGAGAAGAGAACAAAACAACCGTTCACCGACAGCTTAGTTGGCGGCAAGAATTTGCTGGAAGATTTGGGTGAGCTTGTCGAAGGGAATGAGCTCAACGCGGTCGTAGAGATCGACATGTCCTGCGCCCGGAATCCAGACTAACTCCTTTGGGAAGCCAGCACGCGCATATGCCTCCTCACTAAACTCACGTGAGTGTGCCTGGTCACCAGAGATGAAAAGCATTGGACGTGGGGAGATGGCGTCGATATCGTTAAGGGGATAGAAGTTCAAGAACTTGGTTTGACTTGCGACAGTGGGAAGGGTAGTGAGGTTTGGCGTGGTTGTCGGTGGGGTGAACTCACCACGAGAGGTGAGGTAGAAGTCGTAAAACTCGCGGTCAATGGCGGTTGACTCATTGGTGAGCACGTTAGGTGTGCCGCCAGTGACTGCAACTTCAGCCCCGTCAACCTCCGCCCAGCGCTGCTCCGATGCACGTAGAATAATTTCTTCACGCTGCTCAAGGGTCTGAGCATGACGCAGCCCATTGCGGGTGACTGAGCCCATGTCATACATACTCGCTATGGCGATGGCCTTGATGCGGGAATCGATTTTGGCGGCGCTGATAACGAACGAACCGCTGCAGGACGCTTGTTGGATTTTACCTTCAACCATCCAAGACACAAATGTAATTGGTCGTAAACCTTCATTTGTGGATTGATTGTCCCAAGGTTTAAATGTATTGCTCTCTTACCAAGAGGCGTTTAATTTATGACAAGCTCCGAGAAAAATCCTATCTCGGATACCTGTGAGTTTCCATCCAGCTTATTGATCTCGATCAGTTTGAATTTTGACTTAGGGGGAATAGTATAAGCTTTTGGCAAGTCGCCGCAGTGGCTAAAGCCTCTGAGACATGCGTATGCTCATCTGAAGATCAGAACGAACTCACCTGGACTAGCGGCGACCCCATACTTCTCACGATTCAAATATTGTTCACCCCAATCGGACGAACAGTCAGTAAACCTCGGGTGTTTGTCTGTACAGGAATCTGGTTCTTTCAATAGCAGATGACGTGATCCTGAATCTCAGCGTGTCTCAGAATAAAGAACTAGAACTGGTACTACGCCCCCAGAATAATTGTTTTGTAAAAGACCCAAGTTTACAATCCCTGAGAAGGTTGTGTTAACTGCCACGCCGAGTCTAAGGCTGTGCTACCTACGATGTGCAATGAGACGAATCGAGATTCCGGTACTGCTGGAAGTACTTAATGATTGCGTCGTGAATCTGAAAGTCCGCCTGCCGGCTCGCTTACCATATAAAGACCCTCTGTCGGTAGACTCTCTGAAGTGGGGCGTAAGCAGTCTGCATTAGTGCTACCAAGTTCTACTTGGCATGCTCGGCATGATAGATAGGCAGATGAAACCTCACCTTGACTTCATCAACACGAGCCTTAGTAAAAGCTGTTTTCCATTAAAATAAGCAATCAAGAATTGGAAAATGAAACTCCAGGACTGTCTCTATCTAAGCATAATAAAATGACGGCAGCAATGATAATGATAATGACAGTGGCTCAAGTATGTAGCTTTTCAAACTATCATTTCGATTCGGGCTGGATTGATTAGTAATCGACCGATATATCACCGGGCACGTGTCGTAATGCCTTAGCACCTTTTTTACTTTCGGCTGTTAAGGAGCTAAAGAGCGGGGAATAAAGCGCATGGACATCGCCAGGACTGAAATCATGATTTCAATCACCAAAGTATCGATTGCAAATACCAAAATTTGTAATAAATTATTCGCTGATGCAAGTGTTTCCAAATGATTCAAAAAGTCCTGAACATAATTTATATTGCTTGATTTCAAAAACTTCAATCTCGCTGTTGATAAAGTGTTTTGCCTGCTCAACATGGAATACAATGCGAGAGGTCCAGGAGAAGAGGGAGAACTTGTTGAAAGCGTGCTATTGGGACGGATGCCACAGCAAGCAGAAGTGCGTTTCGTGGAAGATGATTGGACAGGCAGTACAAATGCCGCTGAGCGAAGGAAACGTCAGAATAGGCTGCATCAAAGAATTTATCGTAAGCTCGATAGCCAAACAAATTTCCTTGTGCCTCTACATCCTAGCCTCGGCCAAACAACATGGAACTAGTTGCTCTAAATCACGTTCATATTCTTACATTTTCTAGGGAGACGACAAAAATTATTGAGCATGCAATCAGCCCCTGCAAGCCTGGTTATGGAAGAGACGGAACCATTAGAATCAGAGATTGACCCACACTTGAGTACCCTCCTCGAATTCATCAAACGACGGAAGCAAGCCGAGAATCCTGCAAATGCCGTTTCCCCTCGGCAATTTACTGAATATGATTACAAACAAATCTTACTTTCATCAGACCTGACGCCTCCCCAGGTTCAATACATCATTAGACAAGTTGAGGATTGCATTTTTCGTCAGCGCATGACCAGCTCTCCCCGCGCTGACCTCCTCCTCACTCTGGTTCAGTTCAACGTCTTTCGTGCTTTGTTTAGCAACATGATTTCTCTGAGATTCAATCTTGACTGGTTGACGACAGACGCAATTTCACCATTTTTCCAAAACACATCACGCGTTTGGGATACGAACTGCCCAGCCAGTCTCTGCCCAACTACACTTCAACGTCAAGTCTCCCATCATCCATATTTGGACCTGTTTCCCTTCCCACAATTACGAGATAATATGTTGAGCGAAGGTGAAGATTTCGATGACGACGATCTTTGCCACGATCTCGTTGAAGTGTGTCATGCTCCTTCTGAAAGGAGTGGTCTTATCGTTTGGGGCAGTCCTTGGGATCCATCCAGTTGGGAGGTCACCACAGAGTTTGTTGAAAAGTGGCCTTGGATGTTGAGAGGTTGCCGAGAGCTCTTACACTCAACAAACTTCTGGAGGCGTAAACGCGGAGAAGAGGAGCTGTATTTTGATACCACGGTTCCTGAAAGAATTCATTCTTGACTTTAGCGTAGAGTGTTGATTGTTGCCTGTGTCTCCCTCGCGTCTAAGAAATGGCAAAATACGATGATTCAAAACAAATTCTCCATCAATCAACGGAAATTGGCATTAAATGCAGGCCTACCAGAAGTCCCTTATGTATACGATATGTGTGGGGAAGATTTGCATCATTTGCACAGCGCCAACGCCAGTCAGCAAACCAGAAAATTTGAAAGTTACAGTACAAGTGGCAATCTCGAGATTCACAATCTACCCTATGGCTAGGCTGCGCACAAATTATCTGTACCCATGAATTATCTACAAATAATCCGCTCCACAAATTATTCATCAGAAATTCTACCCACTCCACGGATTATCTATTAAAGTTTTAAAATTACCCACTCCATACAAATAATCCACAGATTATCTATAAATAATCCACCTACCCACAAATAAATAAATTATCCGCAAATATATAGATTATCTACAAATAATTTACAAATTATATAAATATATCCACTTTTTTCGTTTAAAATATAAAGTTATTCCCAGATTATTTTCCAGCCCAAAAATAATCCAAGCTTAGATTTATACTAATTTTTATACTAATCATAAAATTATACTAATATTATAAAAGATTATGAATAATTATACAATATATAAATAAATAAATATCCACAAATAATTTGTACCCGCCCCACAGATTACCCATTTAGATTTTTGAATTATCCACTTTGTAAACAGATTATCCGCAGATTATCTATTAAGGCCATTATCCGCCCTACGGATACCCGTTGCGCAGCCTACCTATGGCAGAAACAAGCCTTCGTTCACGGGAGCTGCTTTCATCTGATCCACCTGAATTTCCTGGATCAGCTCATTCCCAGGGTAATCATCAACGTCCAATTCCAGATACTCTGCTGGTGCCCACTTTCTAGCCGGCACGAACAGTGATTTACCATTAATTGTTCGATCAGACAAGATTCGCAACAGAGCACTTGCTGCATCTTCTGCTTCCGCAAATTTCACCCCGCACTTCTCTACGTGTGCGAAAGCTTCCGCAGATAATATCGACGTCTTAATGTACCTATCGTGAGATTAGCAACAGGAAGTTTGAGATTAATTGGGGATTTGAGTACCAAGGAGAGATGAAATTGACTCGGCTGCTATGGTAGAATGCTGTCCTTCGCAGAGAATGCATAATACCTCGCGCAGCCCACTTTGTGCTAGGGTAGACCGGTCCTCGAAGGCAGTCCAGAAATGCTGCCCCAGATCCGATCAGCACTAAGCATGCATCCTCTTGCTGAGGCGATGGCTTCTCTCCATTTTGTTTCACAAAGTAGTGAAGAGCTAGCTTAGTAGTGTACAGTGTCCCTTTCAAGTTGACATCGATTGTTTTCAGATTTGGTTCTGTGGGCTCTTGATCTTTGCCTGCACATCTTAGTTAGCTGAGCGTTTGTGGTGTAGATAATTCATGGATTACCTGCGAAAGTGAAGATTTCATCAGGAACACAAATGTCTGCGTTGGCGACAACATAATCTACCTTTCCCGTGAAAGATGCAACCTCCGTGAAAAGACGACGCTGATCTTCCCAAATGGTCACATCACATCTTACAAATTCTGCGCCTAAGTGACATCAGCACCAGATCTAAAGAAAGAAGGAAGGTCACAAAGTCTTACTGCTCAAGCTCCGACGCTAACTTCGAGCCACTTTCGGATTCCATGTCCCCGATGAACACATTGACGCTATTTTGATAATGTTAGGAACATAATGAATCTCTGAGATTAGCCACCTACCCTGCGGCAGAGAGCACCCTTGTATACGCTTCGCCAATTCCATTTGCACCTGCACTTGGTCAGCAAATTCTACTGTTAAACAGTATTCCCTCTTACCTCCGGTGATAACGGCAGCCTTTCCTTTCAAAGTCTTTGTGTCAAGTAGTTTTGTACAATCCACCGGGGGAGAAACGTTGTAGCCTTCCATGTCTGATAAAATTAGTAGACTTGGAAACACGTAGAAACGGACCTCTTTTCAGAAAATTGAGATGGCGAAGAAGGAGAACTCAGACTGGAAACTCTTTAAAAAGGCAGTTAAAGAATGGGGCAGATGTCGATGCATATATACCCCTCACGGATTATGCATTCTTGTCATGCCAGACTCCTAATTTACTTACATCCGCAAACCAGGGACTACTTCCGAACACCAACTCTGCAGCTTGCTTACGATGATGCAATCCACGTGATCTAGAAAATTTCCCCAGCGAGAAAGCAATTCCCAAGACGTCTGCTCGATGATATCATGCTAGTAACGCACGCATATGCTACGTCGTATGCAATACTTTATTCTCCCGCGGATTTCATTCATTTTCAAAACCTCCTTAGCTAATACTGTTTCCTTGCTAAGCAAAGGTTGCTCAATTACTAGCGGGTCTCTTTTTCTAGGGCCATTGTTTAGCGCTGCACTTAGCTCCATTTGGAATATGCCAAGTTCGAGCTAATGCACTCTGCTTATGGTTCTTACCAGTTTGGTGCCTGGGTCTGGTGTCAGTATACCAAGGCATATACGATTGATGCCAATTTTTGAACTACTAAACAACAAATGACCCGCAATTTAGTTTTCAGGGTCGATGCATGCGATTTGTGGTTGTAATTACTTTCAAATTTTTCCAATGATATGTTTCAGGACAGTCAATTTGAAATGAAGATAAGTGTACTGTGACATTGAGGTTTACGAGGCGAGCGTTTTTTACGATGATAGAAATTTAGAAGAGCAATGATGCAGCATCTGATGTTCTTGACCACTTCTAAATTTCCCCTAAGAATGAAAGAGTCTGTAGTGTTTCGAAGCATGTGAAATAGTATCCTCATTGAAAATTAAGTGAAAGTTAGCAAGATGAACACGATCTATCGAGATGATACTCTGGAACCAAAACATCGCCGTGTCGTATCACTTTAGGCTACAAGTTCTTGTTGGAAAATGATTGATTCTCCTCCCAAAGACTACTTAGTGCTACATTTTCTCTTTCCATCACAGTAATCCAGTATAATTTGTTCATAGAAACGCACTCTGATGCGGCCACAGCCCAAAGTTATGGAGGAAAGGTCATCTTTGCAGCACTCAAATACTATGCTGAAGCTGTAACCCGACTTTGTAGCATCATTCAAAGTTCCTCCTTCACGGAATGTCAATCTAGTCACAGCAGTTATACCATCATCGTACCAACTTTTGAATGGAAAAAGTGAGCCTGAACTAACTAATGAGCATTTATTCATTAAAGTCGTACATCAGAGCCGTGGCTTTATGCAGTGAAGATGATATTTTTTCTTCCAGAAACATCGGCAAACGCAAGAATGACTTTCTCAATTTTTTCATCGACAACTACATGTAGCAGGTCTAGTTTGGGTCAATTATCAGAAACTTAAGCTCTTGTACATTTCTCAGTGCACCATCAATTTTATGGTATCCATATGGCCACAAGCAACCGTATGGACCTTATCGCTCACAATAGCACAGCGTGAGTTCATCGTGAGCACCACGGCCTTAAATTCCGTCAAAAGTCTTCGTTTGAAAAAGGCATGTACTCTATAGAGTCCAGAGTGATACTGAAGTAGAAGATAATCATATAAGATCTAAGATGGTTTATATTCCGGGTTAACCGAGCTCGAACCCTCCGTAACAATCAACGTAAGTCTTTGAAAATACTCAAATAACTATAATAGCCGGAAAGTGCTTGGCAAGACACTGATACACACTGAAGACTTCGTAACATCATTTTACTTCCTGAATTATTTGCTTGGCGGGTACTTGATTTAGCCTCCTAAAATCGTTCCCAGGGGCGCAAAGCCAAGAGCTTCATCGCTTTATCACCATGCAGTTTTGATGTAGATTGCTCATAGCCATCTAGAAATTTAAAGTTATCTACTATCTTGAACTAGTGCATTATGAAACCTTGCAATCAAAGGACGTTTCATTTCTCTTTGAATGATGTAATCGGTTTTGTGAGGTTGACCAATTTTCCATGATGTTTTAAGCGAGTTCTGAAAGTCTAGTAAATTTGCACTGTATCATCGCTGGAGTACCAGGCTTTGGTCTGATATCATCTATCACAAAGCTGCAGTCTCTACTATTACTATAGTCTCATGTTCTATAATCTAAGTAGGTAATGTTAACTATACTATGATGGTCATTCAGGGGTACTCGTCTAATGAGAGCCGAATAATGTCACATTTGCACGTGATTCACAATCACAGCCTCACATTCACTAAACAATCGATTGATGCGAATTAAAATCACCCTGTACAGCCTTTCTAATTGATTCTAGACGACTCCGCGGTTCTTCTTTATCTTGACAAGCTCAAATTTTGTCAAAGACAGAAAAGTATACACATCTAATCAAGGTAGACTTCCCTCTAGTTAAAGACTATTTTCATTTCCTTCTTCGTCAATACTCAGACTAACCATAAATCTCAAAATAGTTGTCTACCAGCATATTTCCTCAAATTCTGTTTGAACACTCCAGCAGCAGAAAAATCCTCCCATTTTCACGATTCTCTTACAAGATGAATACATCACTTCCACCTCCCCTTCGAAGCAAGCTTGGCGGCAAGCGCGAATGGAAGCTCAAGCCAAGACAAGATCTCACTCCAGCAGTAATCAGATCCCAAGAGCCGAACAAAATGCGGATTGCATTGATCAGTGTGACGGAAGCGGGCCTGGTACGAGAAGTATATTACGATCGAGGTTATGGAAATGGTGAACCATTCGACTGGAACGATTCGAGCGACATTTTCCTCTTGAACGACTGGAGACGAGAGAAGATTCGCAAGTACACACCGGGAGATCTGGGCCAGATGGAGCGCACAAATGTTGTTAGGAATCAGGTTATCGAGAATAGAGTTGTCAAGAAGCCAGTTGCTCCCAGGGCGATGATAGAGCAGTCTCAAAAGCCGCAAACTGGTCGAAAACAAACATCCGCTATGATTCGAGAGCCGGTAAACCCTAACAAAAATCTCGATACTGAATTTATCACAATGGTCGGGCGCAGCAGAGAAATGGAGAAATTTCGTGCTCGGAAACGCAGATCTGCACGTCAGGTAACACCAAGACTTGCGAATGGCCGTCGCCAACATCGATCTAACCCTCAAGGACCTATTGAATTTCTTCCTGTCGATCTTGAAAGGCTCAGTAGCTTGACACCAAAGCAACAGCGACGCGCTCAGAATACCCACGTCAAGAACTGGCTGGTTATCTTTGAGATGATTGAGAGCTCTCTCGGATTACCGAACCGGGAGATTGGTGTTGAGTATAATCTTTGAAATCATGGGCTTGGTCTGACTTTTGAAGCATATCTCTTAATGATGCTTCTTGGCGTCTTCTGCAACTCCCGCAAAGTGTCGAATAAGTTTCAACAGAAAATATGCCACGCGTTTTCTAGGCTACTGAAATAATATCAATATAAATGCAACATTGGAGGATCAGTCTACTTACTCGCGCGAGAGAAGAGCAATTTGGGAATATCATCGTGAGATTTGGCGCATTCGCACAGTGGTTGATATTCTTGACATTTCACTTGTGTCAATGGGATGAATTATAGGGGTCTAGATTAATACATAAATCATCACCGTCAGCTTTTCATATATCGTGAAATTCTTTGCTTCGTGACTTTTTTTGCGTGTGTCCCTGCTGAGCTACTGACTCAGATCTACTATCCGATTACAAATCCAACTACTTTTACCTCTTCCCTAGAAGACTCAAAAATGTTTATCCCTCTCTTGCACCAACCATTCAATCCAATCCACCATTACAAATCATGCCTAAACTTATCCTTTCTGCCAACCGTATAACTCGAAATCGTCAAATCAAGGTTCGGGAATCTATCACGATGACGATGAAAGTTTATTGAGACGGGTTGATGCAAGTACAGTTTTACATTTAGAGGAATTCATGTCTGATAGTTCAATTCTGAAGCTCAAGAAAAACGCCAGCTTAGAGATCACTAGGTCCAGGTGCCAAAAGATGGCCAGTCAGAAATGAATGAAATGTGGCTGTTTGTTATAGTCAAGAGGATTTTCTTCTGGCATTTGAAGGGATTACACATGTAGGAATGAGGGATCATACTACTATAGTTGAGCAGCAGCCGAACAGATTTAAAATTCGTATGAGGTTAGAACTTAGAGCTCGCAAATAGCGTCAGAGAGATTAAGGGAATATTTGTGGCCTGTAAACCGAAATTACAGATAGTAAGCGGTGATAAATTGTTAAGAGAACCTCTCGGAACCCCTCAATTTCATAGCCACGTAGCTTTCCTTTACTTCACGTTAGGTCTGTTAGTTTAAATGCTTATTATTAGTTTGTTGACATGATTAGTTCCCGATCAGTGTAAAATGATGTTATTCAGTCAAGGCTAGATGATGAAATCATGGTACACGATGTAAAAGCTTTATTATTAGCGCTGAATCAGGACCTAAAAATTCTGCATCTTCCCCAACCCTAACTTTCCAGAAAGCCATTGACGAGAATACAAGGCCATCAGCTTTTCTCCCAAAGAATACGCTACTGACCCCATGTGTCAGACTCTTACCGCCTCATAAGAAATCCAAAACAATCGCACCCCGAAAAAATTCCTGGCTAAAAGACGATTTCCCGATGATGGTTTTCGTGACAAAAGTAGACGTAACTCCAGATATCTTGAGAACGGAACGCATCGAGATGTGATATGTTTTACAGATCAACGCCGAAAATGGAGATCCTCGACTTCTTCGCTGACAACGAATGTGCAGCCGTCGCATTCGCATCCTCTATCTCTTTCTTTCTCTTATTTTGTTCCTTAATGTAGTCATTTACGAACTTTCTGACGTCTTTACCCTTAACGAATTCTTCGATTTGGGTTTTGGTCCGATATATTCCAAGAGTGTCGTTGAACTCCTTAGTGACCGACGAAAATTTTGCTCCTGAATAATCTTTTCTGCGAAGCCTACTTTCACCCACTCGCTAAATCATTATTTTTCCAAGTTTGCATTCTTCATACGAATACCAAGGCAGAGTAGGATTAAGCCCCGTCTCCTTTCCTTCTAGAGAAACCCTAATATTCTATATAACATTGTTTGACACCATTGATTGAGTGCTAAAACATCGTTTTGAGAGTTCCAGTTCATTTTCGAGTACTCAAATAGAACTCGGTCCAATTTAAAGTGCTCAGGGTTGTCCTGTTTTGCCTCGGGCAGTAAACTTATATACTCAATGATGGTCTTGCTTTTGTCCGGGGTTTGAAATTTTGCCTCTGCACGGTCGTTGTTGTCAATGTATCTGATCCCTTTCCATTTGAACATTCGTGGGGGATTCCAGAGTTGATAAGACTATTAGCGACTATTAAAGGAGATTTTTGAAGCCATACTTGATCTTTCCCATAAATTCCTACCTAAATCGATTTCTTGTCCATCTCGCTTCCCGTTTCCACCTCCAGAGCCTCGTATCCTGCTAGAATTCTCTTCAAGCGGAACTCGCCTTGAGAAAGCATTTGGACACTTTCCTAACTCCTTATTTGTGTATAACGATCTTTGGATAGTTTCTTTTTCCCATCTCTCATAAGAGCGCCTTTTTTATAAGTGACCCTCAGAGCGATGATTGAAATCTTCAGCAACTGACTTCCAAATTTCTGGCAACGAACTTGTTCCTGTGCGAGATTCCCTTATGTGGCGCTCCAAGATTTCGTACAAAGTATCTACCTCATCAAGTAGCCTGTACGAGTGAGTAGTCGCGGATCCATTCTGTCTTGGGTTCTCTGGAGTGTCTTTTTTTTTGTTTTGATTCGACTCCGCCAAAACGCTCCCGAGAGCTTGGTAATTCGCCCGCTTGTTTCGACATTTGGAGAGATTTTGATCTTTACGCCGTAATGAAAATGATGATCTCATCAAAATACGATAAACCTGTGATAACCTTTGTTTTCTGTAGTAATACCTTGTTGAAGATATGTTTCGTTGTGAGATGGAGTTCATTCATTATCTGGGTCACCCTCTTGCTCTTCGCGCTTTCTCTTATTGGAAATGGGCTTCTGTGGAGTTGGAACGGGAGTCACGACCAGACCATCTGCACTTTCCTGTGAGCTCATCGAAATGAGAGCCTTCGCCGCCTTTGAAGATTGAATTAGCGTGATTTTGTTTGATTGGAATAAAAATACAATACCTCAAATATCTCGGCTTCTGCTGCATTTTTCACAGATGTTACCTCCCGGCTGTCGTCAACATTGGCATTCATGCTTTTAGAAGGTGCTGAATCATCGTCCTGTTCCCGAGCAGATTGTCTTATCCCGAGTCTCGTGACAATCTGTGTTTCATGATGTCCCCATCTTGCCCATCGATCCAATTCTGCTTTGGCTTCATCTTCATCGAGATTTTCTAGATATGGCGCTAATTGACAGAATTTTCTCCGAATCTGGAGATACATATCGGGTCGACGTACAGGGTTCAAGTTGGTGATTTTGAGCATATCTGTGCAAAGTTTTGTCGCTTTCCCAAGAGTAAAGGCCTTATCTTCATATCGAGAGAATAGTATGAGGTGGCGAACTATATCACGGCAGAAAAAATTGCGATTGAATGCGTATGAAAGGTCACGAACTGCAACCATTTCAGATTCGTTCAAGTCGGTACCTTCAATGAGCTTGAGGTTGAAAGGATGAAATCTTTCTGCTGCACCAGCAGCTTGAAGGATCTTGCCAAGAGATTCATCGTCGTCAAAGTTCATCGTATCAAATAGCTTGTTCCAGCGAACGTATTTCTGGTCTAGTACTGGATTATTCCAGCGAGGATAATCTGGGTCAAGAGAAGGTGGTGCCATGTTATGCAAGCGTCTCTGACTATGGAAGATGTGAATCACTTCTTCAATAAATCAGTACATGTTTTATGACTTAGAACTAGCTCTGCAAAGATGGGGCTCGAAATGAGTACGTGAAAGTGAGATGGGTCGTCTTTTGGAATACGAACCTTTTCTTGTTTAAACTTCAAATTCAGGAGTTCCAAACTTGTGCAAAAACTAAAGTATCCAACCTTCGATTCGTTGATAGCCTGGTTCAAGATTACTTGAATTTGCAAGATACTAGAAAGTCAAATCCAACGAAACTTCCAATGGTTCCTAATTATCAGTAGCCGAAGTGGTGTTTATATTCTTGATATTGAGAGGAATTGATTGTGCTGTCAAGAAGCAATTTTTTTAATAGAACTCGGGCCGTAAAAGTGGCAGTATTAATCTGGTGAACAGGGGGTGTCACGTGGAGGTACAATAGCTTGTCCCGTACCTCAACAATCCAAATTTTTCGAAGTCTATTTTGATGCGGTTGACGACAAACTCCGTGCTGGACTCATGTGAAGAAGCTTGTGGCTACTAAAATTCGCTACTCCTGAGGCTAGATGGATTTGGCGTACATATATACCCTGATTCTACCAGCTCTAGATTCCACCTATTCTATATTGGATGATATGTAAAGCGCTTTTATCTGATTAAATCCTCAGTGATTCATTATCTCACCTTCCATCTGGAATGTACTAGTTGACTACACAGCTTGAATCGCACTTCCACAAAATAAATGGTATCTTTGCTACCACTTCGACTCTTTTTCATCTTTTTCTCTTTTCAAGATATACGCATGAAAAATCTTCTTCCTTGTAATTCCTCACTTCCAGGTTATCAACCATTCAGCTCCCACCCTTTTTCACAATCTAGTGTTTCTAGTCCTACTGCATATCTGGACCACTCTGTCAATAAGACAGAATCGATGTTGTGGCTTATCATCGCAAGTTAGACCCGCCAGTAATATCGTCTCGTATCTCATTAAAGAATTGGCATATTCACATGTTGCACATGGAGATGCTTAACTGCCACAGATCTACGCGCGGAAAAGAATCAAGTGATCCTTTGAGCCTGCCTACTCATTCAAACTACGAAGACCTCCTATTTATGGGAAGCTGCGAGGTGCAGCTCCTAGGAGCTACCATTAGACATGATGGTCTAGTCTGTCACATTGAGCATGATACAGCTGACTTTTCGCTGTCTCCTTCGTCTTTCCGACTACGCGATAATTAGCAGTGCGGCGTTGCCCATAAAGCATGAAAGACATCAGACACATCGATTCCCTACTTCACTAATACTTGGCTAAAAGGATTTTTAAATCCGAAATTTATTGCCAACATGAGCGGTCCTGGAATACTGTTTGCAGGGTGTTCACTACAAATCATTCTAGGATATCAAAACTAATTTTGGACGCGAGCGTAGACGATTGACTGACATCCCATTTCACTCAGTTCTGAAGATAATAAATTAATGTTCCAATTCAAACTTCATTTTCAAATTCAAATCGAGAGAGCTGATATCTGGCTTTTCTATCCTGCCATTACCAATCTGCCATCCATTCTATCACTCTAGCTGTGGAAACTCGAAACTCAGAAGCCATCCACAATGTTTTGTTGGGATGAAATGGAATGGGAGTTAAATCATATCATCATCGATCAAATAATCTCATGCTCAGCTCTCCATCACGTATCGCAGGCAATTTATCGCATATATCCCTCATCTCGACATCTTCTTCCTGGCTATCTAGTTACCCATGCATTCCAGTCTCAATATCTGAACCATCTTCTATTCCGATTGGGTTACCCGCACTGTCCGACTGGTCTTCTTGACTTTTTTGAATGGAAGAACGATCGTCGTTCTCTTTTTGGCTCCTCCGTTTCTCCCGGGCTGGCCCGCTTCTTGCGCCTCCGTGACCTCCCTTCCTTTTATACCCTGTGATTCGTGGTTCAGGAGTATAGAAATCAATTTCGCTATCTATAATTGGCTCCGGCTGCTGCTTCACAGCTTGATCTTTTCTCTCTCTATCAAGAGTTTCCGTTTCTGTCGCCCCACGTTTATTATAATCAGCCAATTCTTTCATTAAAACATTACTTGTATCCTGACTCGGACGGGAGTCAATCTGTGGCGAGTTAAGTTGGGGGGATGGAATGATTCCGTTTGAACCAATCCCACTGCTCCCACCACTCTTCTGAGAATTTCTTGTTCGGCGACCTGACGGTTTCTCTGGGGTTTTTACACTTTCAATTGCAGGTGAGTTGTGATCTCTTAGACTATTCAACATTCGAGTTCCAGGGGTGCCCTTAGGCTTGCCTGGTTCAGGAAGTGGACAGATTAGACAGATTCCGGTGGATAAACAACCAGCCTGTACTTACCAGCCTTCTTTTCACTAATGTTAATTCCATGGGTGTCCGGCTTGTTTATAGGCGTGATTTGATTTCGATTCTCCTTTTTCTCAAAGTCCTGCAATTCAGCTGAAATGCTTCTCGTAGGAGATTGCCCAGCATCGCTTCGTTTTCTATTTTGCTCTTTATTCGGAGTAGTTGCTTCTCTGAGATAGTCAGTAGCATTTCCTTTCTCTGGTTTATATGCATTTTTCGGTGCTTGAGGTAACTTTTGGTCATCCTCCTTGTCAGAAAGATCTTGGTACTCGTTGGTGTCAGGCTGTACACGCTTTCGATGTTCCTCGGTTTTCCTTTCTTCCTCCTGAGCCTGTATACAATACTTACGAGCACTTTCTACCCCCTTTACAACCAGAAAATCTGCCTTTGTCACATCACAATCCTGTATTAAGCGCTTGATATGAATTTGGTATCTGTTTCCACGTTCCCATAGCTTCTGGATATCGTTCGCGGCTTGTTGCTCAACCCAAGTAGGGGGTCGGGTTGATGTACCAAGTAAGCTCGATATAGGCCCAGATACGCACCCCTTAATTCCTTGTCTCGCAACTTCGTCAATCAATGGAAGCGTAACGGCTTGCCTGACAACACGACGGATCGCTTCTGGATCTTTGATATTGATGTCATCTAGAAGCTGTACGTATGATTGGCCTCTGATCAATACAATGCCTCTCATCTTGATGGCTCTTTGTAAATTCTATGTGAAACTCGGAACGACGTATTCAATCTAAAAAAAATCAACTATGAGTATCACATGTCTTTACATCCCACCAGCTATGTATTTGGAACTCAACCTGAGTAGTGCCAAGGTTGATAGCTTTTTGGAATGATTTTTGAGACCATTGCGTCTGCCGTGGACAACCCGATAATGGCTGAGAATGAGAAAGCTTACTTTATTCGTAGAATTAGAACAGATCTCTCTTGATGGCAGAAGCTATATAGTATTTGGGGGTGTGATGCGTTCATAGCCCAATAGGTAGGGATGCTTCATGCAGAAGGAAAATGAACGCCGTTAGAAGGATATTCGTGTCTCTGTGATGTAAAGGCTAGCTCACTGTGCTAAAATAATGTAATGGATAAAGAAATATAAACTAAAAAACTGTAGAATAAGATACAATTTTTACTCGGGGTGAGTTCATACTGAACTGTCGAAATCAGTAATCCATCTACGGTAACATACATCATGTTCAGACAGCTGGTTGGGCAACTTACTCGATATCAATGAATGATTTGGAGAAAACTTTGTATGAATGATGCTGTGAGTTGTTGCAAAGAATAAAAATTATCAAAGACATTCGTAGTAGAGAATGAGGAAGGAGGCAATGTTTCACCACTCCTGCACTTTCCTTAACTCTTGGCCCTGCTATTTTTGGTTGTAAAAGCTACGCATTGCACAGGGAACTTTTATAACTCGTCCATAATTGTCCAACAATCACTCGAAGTCTCGATTTTACTTTGGATTGCACGATGCACTTTACAGGACAGTAGATCACTATCACAGGTAGCTTTATATATATAATTCCATTTGAATTCTCCTCTTCGCTAAATTTCATCACAGATTCGTGATCATACAAAGTGTAGTTGAGTCCTTTATAACATCTATCTTAGCTTGCAAAATTTGTAACAATCGTCACTTCCAACCACCAAATATCTAAGAAGTACCCTATAATTAAGGGAATAAAGTATTTGAAATGCTTCCGAAACAAAAAATCAGAAGCGAGTGAACAACCAACCGATCAAAAGACTTAGTCCAAAGTCCAAAAGGCTGACCCGGATGAAGGCTTAAATTTATTGGAAAGTATCACAATGCAGCAAAGTTTGAGTACAGAAAAATTGAAGTTGAGTAAAACCAGATATATGGCTTGTTCAGTTCTCAGGAGCTGGCTCGGAAGTGTTGCGTTTCTTGGCGTTAAGTTCAGCGGTTTCTTTCCCAGCTGTTTCTCTCATTCGACGATTGATCTCCCTATCAGGAACACGAGGAACAAGTGGTCGTGGCTGGGTTAAGCTTCGACTAAGAGGGTTTGCTGGAGGATTCGGTGTCTGCAGAAAAGCCATTTGGTGCGAGCCGAGTTCTGCGGAATTCTTTCTCGTTGCGATAGGATCAGATGCCAATGGAACGGGTGTCCCGGGGAAAGACATTTTAGAAACAGGCACCATGGGAGCAGTAGGCATTCGAACAGGGTTATTGCGAGTAGACGCGACGGGACCAAAAGTCACAGGTCTAAATCTGATTGGCGCAGGCGCAGGTGCAGTAGGAGCAGGTGTAATAGTGGGTACAAGAGGTCTGGGGCCTGACCATTTCGACTCTTCAGGCAGATGATCATACAAGATTGCCGCCTGCTCAGCCAAAAGATCAAGAGCTTGTCGTCTATCACCAGGTCCTTGACTCGTGTTCAAACCGGTCGAGTAACGGTGCAAATTAGTTGATGGCTTATCGTAAATTTTCTCTTCGTTGTAAACATTGCGCTTCTTGTATCGACTACGAGGTGGCTCTGATTTCTGTTGAACTATGGCCTTTTGGCGAGGTTGAAGTGGCCGAGGCTGGGTAAGAGGACGGAGTGGAGGAGTTGGAGCCAATTCTGGCGATGCTTCGACTACGGAGCGATCGGTCTCATAAGTAGAAGAAGCAAAAGAGCACTCTTGCTCATCGAAAGATCCTTGCGCAGCTTCCTTATCTTTGTTTAGCTTTCCTAATTGGCTTGACTCGTGGCGAGTCCTCGCTGGTGGATGACCATTTTTCTGCGGAAGACCACTGCTTCTCAGCATTTCCATCACTGCAATAGCATCGGGGGCGAGGAAGTAACCCATCTCTTGGCGTAAAACCCAATCATCCCGTTTGGGTATCTGGCGACTCTCACGAAGTGGTATAGAGATACAGAGAGCTTCCCGGGGAGTCTGATCGTAACTCTTACAATGATATCGCCGCGGAGCACCAGGCGTTCCTTTATCCTGCTCAAGGTTTTCAGTTGAGGAGTTGTAATCATTAGCGATCTGCGTCCAATCGATGTCTTTTTTGGCGTTGACATAATCCCGAACTAGTTCGGTGAGAATCTTCTGTTCTTGTACAGTCCAAAAATCCTTGTTATCATAGACTTTACCGATGTTCCGTCGAATAACCTGATTTCGCCAATTATTAAGTGCATGCAGAGATTGTTTGTCATTCCAATCTACTCGAACACCTTCCGAATCATCCTCGTATCGAAATTCGACATCACCGTGAATCGGCTTGTTTGAAAATTCGTTGATTTCTTCAGTCTTGAACCTGACTACGAGTTTAGAGGGATCTGGTTGGCCAAGCATTGCATGGCTTCGGTCAATGGTTCCGTCGTCAATACAGCGCGTGCCTCTTTTACCCTTCGGGGCGTGTCTTTTGTTTAGCTAATGCGTCTTAGTTTGAGATAAGGAAAAGGAAGTGAAGAATATAAACCTACTCGGTGTTTCTTCTCCTGCTCGGTTTCACTAGCTAGATCGGGCGCGGGAGCCTTTTTCCATTGTAAATAACCCGGTGCATGGCCAGGGCTAAGCAAGGGCTCTGAATCAATACTTTCAGGCGTTATAGTAGTGGCGAGAGGCTTGTCGATATTTTCAGGAGGTTTGGGGGCAAGCCTGGGCCTCTTTGGAGTTCTCACTTGAGGTAAGGTAGGGTTTTCTTGGAGATGCTCTGGGAGCTTGTTGAATATTTGAGGCTTCGTAGTGCTGTTGTGAGGAGACATCACGAAGGTTCCTGTTGTTGTGTACTTGTCAGAATCTCTCTTTCGGAAAATTTATCATATGTTTCCACCACCGTATTTGGAGAAATGAAGGGAGAGAATACAAAAATGGGATGAAAGAACTATAGTTCATGCTTTTCTCATAGATCTTCTCCCAATATCTTGAAAGAAGTGATAGGATAGTGGATTGAAAGACTCACTGTTATAAAAGAGTAAAACACTAATTACACTTTTCCAAAGGATCAGACGTCTTTCATGCTTGCGGAGATTGATTTATAATTGAGGATGATTCTTGGGGAGCTAAGCAGTCAGATTCCGTCATATAATCTTTCTATGATGACAAGAAGGAAATTGGCATGAATCGATGCGATCAATGTGCGATTGAGTGACCGTGACAAGGAGAGGTGTTAGTATGCTTGCAGGCAGACTTGCTCTGAGGTATTAACTCCTTGCAGAATTCTAGAGAAGAGTATTATGGGAAGATCAATAGGAATGAAGAAGTAAAATGCTTGAGAAACTGAAGCTATTGTGAACCAGTCAATGGTGAAGTCTTATATGTTGCGGTGTTGCGATGGATACGTGCTGTCATCTGCTTCTGCTGCTCCTTCTGGCAGGAGAGAGGTTCATCAGATGACTCCTCAGCTTTGTAAAGAATATGATAATAGGAAAAATCAAAAAGTTTAACAGTTGTAGACAATGAGATAAACTCATATCATGGACAAGATATTAAGTTAATACAGGAAGAAGGGAATGTTAACGTACTAATATCTTGGACCACTTTCGCAAAAGTCTTGATATTGATCTTCTTCCCCAAGAAACGGTTGTTATGATATGAGTAGCACCTAGAATTGAAAATATCTCAAGCTAGATATTCTTGTTGATCCAGAGAGCAGTTGTTATTGTTGATGCTATTGCTTTTGCTGTTGTTTTTATTATATCCTGGGAAGTTCGAGTTGGTTATTTATCTTCTATTTTTGTTCAACAACTGGGCATACTTCGGCAAAGAAATATTGCTCTGGCTAGGTATGGTCGAGATAGTAATGAGTTCATTAGGTCTCATTTAATATGTAATTAAACATAGATATTTGGGATGAGAATATCTAAGTCTAATAGTAGTAGCCTTGTACTTAGACAAAGCTATATAATGGGACCATACTTAATGGGTATTAGATACGAAGCCTTGCGGTTTTTTGATTGTTCAAACTTCAGGTAAATATCTATTCTTCACCATCAGTTCCAAAAACTACACTTATTGAACTCGTGACTCTTCAACATGACCTCGCATAAACATTGTTGACCTGATTCTACTCTTTATTGCTAGATCTACCATCGATTGAGCAGTTGGAAGCAGAATTAAAGGTGATGGGGAAACCATCAGTAATCTATCTGTTTCTGTGGTGAAACAATATAAAAACTGCATTGTGGAGCTTCAAAAAAGGCTATTCACTTCATTCATAATCAACTTCATTCCATCAATACATAGGTTAGTGATATGGTGAGCCGAAATTTGTGCTTTTTCATAGTATCTAGAGGAATTTTGAGTGTGAGATAAAAAACTGTAGAATTTGATTATTCATTTCCCAGTGGTTACATTGTAAAAGTGATACTTGTTCATAATAATGGAATCATAAATGAAGACTAGTGGGTGTATAGCATAATAGATTCTAATCTTACACAGACTGTCTCATTTCTACGGCTATCTTCGGGTTAAGTCAATGGTAAATTTTGAATTTAAGCAGGTTTGAAAATGGCTAGAATGGTACAGCTTCTGAGTTCGAGTTCTTATGATGTCATTGTTCTCGTGAGATTGTTCAGTGTTACATTATCTTATCCTTCAAAGAAGAGAAAGTCCCTCCAGTTGCCTTGCCTTTCTAGAAGTGGTAGAACCACAAGGGACTTGAGAGATTGTGTTTGTCTCAAGATTCCTCACTATCAAACATAGACAGTAGTCAACACAACTTGAACAGCTTATGGAGAGATTAAAATATTGGCATTTTTATTTCATACTGTACGTTCGCACAAATAAAATGAAGGATGAGAGGTATAAGTAAATCATGACTCCCTCGGGTATTTAGATGCTGATTAGATCCCCAATCCAGTTTGCATCATTATTGACGCATGGATGTGTGCTATCCTTTGTTTGTGACATAAACTCGTGGTATGTTTGTATGCACAGTATTCTTGAGTCAATTTATGCTGTATGTCAAAATTCTTTGACATATTACTCATATTTATATAATGAAAAAAAGTAATTGATGCCCCATCTACTCCCTAATTGTGGCTAATTCAATATCTCTTAGTCCTTACTTTATTGCAGACTCTCCGGCCCGCTATTTTTCAGCAATATTGAGGAATGTATCTACTAATCTTGGCTCCATCTTGCATCGTTTTTTGTTCTCCTGTGCGCACGATGTGAAGTTGGTGCGTTTTTATTCCGTATCAGGACTACTTTGGCGTAGCCGCGCCGCCTCTCTTCTTGCTCACTATCAGATGAGCCTTCATGCTACCTTCTACACACTGGGTTGTAAGCTCATGACACCTCAGTCCAATTCTTTGTTCCAAGGTACAGTAATTACTTTCTAATCACCTATCAAGCTTAGATACAATGTCCCCGCGATGCCCCCGCCCGGACGAGTTGCAGTTGATATTCAATTATAATTTCCTTCCTCCTTCAATCTTTAGTGGCGGCCCTAGTCCTGTGGCATAGACAAGCAATTTTGTTTCCCTGTTCTTCATTCATGTGAGGATGTCCTGGTGCTAACATACGAGATTCATCTCCTTGTTACCCTACCTAACAAGTCATTATTCTTCCTCCTTTGCAGATCTAGAGTCTTCTCTGTCCTGAGTAATGTACACCATCCATTGTTCTTTATATGGTTCCTCGACTTGTCTTGTGTTCATTGAAGTAGTTCGGAACTCGTTCTATGTTTAGGGAGTATCCGAAACAGTCGAATTAATATCGAGACAAAAGAGGGTTCAGTGATAATCCAAGGTCAGATGCTTATTCTGAAGTTCAAAGGTTAGCATGCTTTATGTCATATGTAAGATATGCGGTGAGGTAAGAAGGGAAGGTAGTTGAAAATACTTCTAGATATCGCGGCTCCACGAGAAGAACGACTAATCTGACTGCTAATTTGATCAACCAACATTGTTATTGTTTTATTATGGACTGGCAGTTGAAACTGTAGAGATGGGGAATCTGGAAATGCCATTATTTTAATGAGTCTTAAGCCTGCAGGTGTATTCCAATCTCAAAAGGGATACGGAAAGGGTATAGGCGCACTAGTCCATGTCAAAATGGAATTATTTCGCTCCATTGCTTCATTTCAACTTTTTAAAGAACAGGAACAATGTCGAGGAATCCTAATAGTTGGAAAAATGTCCCGAATAGTTTAGCAATTAGTCATGTTCTCAAAGGGTGTTCAAGTTAGGGCATGTGACATGTGAAAGAAGTCGCATTTATATCAAACCATTTTAATGAATTATCAAGATTGTTTACTCCAGAATCTGGAATTGGAAGCAACTAGTTGATATTTTTATCTAGCGCAGATCACAAGGCTATCATTGTATTGCTAAACATTATATGAGGCTTGAGATTTCAATGGAACGGCCACCCCTGAGTGGCTAGTTCATTATAAAAATGTGGGTATATATACAGAGATTATCAACACATCTTCACTGTACTGCATCAACAATGCGGGGGGCAAGTACCAGGTACCTGGGTTTCATCGTAAGGGTTACTATTATACATAAACTGCGACGCTATAGGCTCGATCGGCGATGGTACGGGAGCTTTGGAGAAATAAGGTTATTTTCACGTTCCACGAAATGATATTGATCAAGGCGTTACTCCGCTAGATTGAGAGCAATCTTCAAACTCATATACAATACATCAAGCGAGGCTTAGTACGTACAGTACTTGATACCTCAAATTAGCTTTCAAGTGCTTGATCCTTCTACCATAATTACCTCTTGTTCTTTTTCATTACATAGAAGTTCTCAGTACTTACATCAATTCTTCCTCATAGACAACAAACTTCTACCACAACTAAATACACCTTCTTCATATCAGGTTGCCTTCTCTTGAGTAGGTTCCCACATTAGCTTTCTGTCCCATGTACAAAAACTTCATTTAAATTTGTCATTTACATTCGTCTTTTAAACATCTATAAATAATAGTTCACAATGGCACCTCCTTGTGCTTCCAGATCAAAAGATGACCAGGATAAGCCACCAAATAAAAAAGGCGCTAGCATTGAGAAAAAGGATGCTAGCAGTGCAAATGAGCCCTCGGCACGAAAGACCAGAGCATCAGGTCAAGTGGTATGATTTCCGAAACATCAATTGAAGTGAAAGTATCATGTATTGAAGCTAATTGTCACCTCCAGTCTGGATCAAAGAACTCAACCTCGAATACAACTCCTGCGACGCTTCCCAGGTCATCGAAAATTTCCGAAGGTCCTGCATCTGAAAGATCACAAGACGATAGCGGCGTAGGTGAGTCTTCTACGCGAGCCTCAAACCCACGCGCTGCCACGCGACAGCCAATTCCACCCCCCGTCCACTCAAACAAAGAGTATTACAATAAATCTTCTCGGCTGATCAGTCCCGACAATCCGCCGGTAGCTCAACTTCATAATACTCCCAGCAACATTCAAGCTAGGAAACAAAAGAGGGCGCACAGTCCTAGTCCGCCAAAACCAGAGACTACCGAACCACAACCACTGTCCGCAGCCGTTATGGCTTCTTTGGCTGCTGAAAAGGCCAAATTCAAGGAAGAAGAATTGGAGGCTAAGCGCCAATATATTTATAAATATAGGGGTGGAGGTTGGGACCATCAAGACTTCAAGGAAGTAGGTCTTCGTGGTGGACGATTAGAAAAGGGTGCTGTAACACCAACCAGCAGCCCAGTGTCGTCGTCTCAGTCTCGATCAGATTCTGAATTCACCGTATCTGGTGATTCTCCCGTCGAAGCTAGAGGGCCTATTATAGCCCCTGCTTCCAGGCCTGTTGAGGCCGCACATTCCCGTTTAGCCTCTGAGCCTATATCAGAACATGGAGATGCACCTGTCGATGTTGATGAGTCAGCCATAAGTGCTGCTGCCGACTCGGTCACATCACCAAGTTACCGTCCACTCCCGACAGCGGGAAGCTTAGGAAATGGCAAAGGAAAGGTGAGTCTAACATCCACTGGTATATGTATCACGAAGACTTGGCATACTAATTGTTTTTTCTTACAGGCTGTGGCTGTAGATGAAGACGAAGAAGAGTCTTCTGAAGAGTCAACTGAGGATCCTGCCGAAGATCCTACTAGCGATGATGATATCGCAGATCATTATCGAGATTCGGCCCACACCGATGGTCAATCTACTATGGCTTCGAGCAGTTATGGACCCATCGAAAGAGAGGCCAAGAAAATGCCATCTGGCCATGTTGCCATCGACGAAGCGTCTCATAGTCGAGCCCAAATCTTTGTTGGAGCTCCACAGCCACAGGCTTTGACCATAAAGATTCGAACCGAAAAGCGCGATGAGCACGACGTGGTAACTGCTCGAGCTTTAGTTACCCACAAATATACAAAAAGGTTAGATTGGGCCAACGCAAAAGAGGTGAAGTGTCTGAACAAGTGGCGTAGCCAGATCCTAGTTCGAGCCTTCAAGGCAAAGCACGAGCGAAGATGGAAGTACACGCTCAGTGAGATGAACGCTCTGTGTCACTTCCTGGAGATCCAGCTTCTTGCACCTGGAGTAGGTGGCTTAATGGCCAATGTTGATTGGGCATTGGTCACAACCAACTATAACAACTATTTCCGCGGAAAGAGACAATTCGCTGGCGAATTATATGCCAGCGCTTCTTATGCAGGCGAAGATGGAAGAAAGACGTCTGCCGCCGGTCAACCAATGAAGGATGACCGTGATGCCCCATTTCGATCTGAGATAGCTTTGAAGAATCAGATCTATCACTTCAGAGACCGACGAGCAGTTGAGCTTGTCAGAGACTCTAGAGGTGTAAGACCGCGGGATGGGCCCGAGGAACCCGCTGGTGATGAATCACAAGAAGTTGCTGAGAATATTCCATCAGTCACGCCTAGTGAAAGATCTTCCCCCACTTCCAAAGGACCGCTTAAAAAACTGATCTTTACGCTTGGTAACGGCAGCAAGGTAACTCTTGAGAACAAAAAGAGAGACAGCAATGAGTCCCAGACAGATGAAGAGATGTGTCTACCAAGCAAGAAGACAAAGATGAGTGGGCCTTCTCATCTCCGTGGGGGCAGCGGTGACATTTGGGGAGGCTCAGAGTCGAACTTCGACTACAGCGATGATGCTGCACCACCAACTCACTACCACAGTCGTGAGTTGCGTTCCGATTCTCCCTTTCGACAAAGCTCCCCGTCTGAAACTGCACGAGCTTTTTCTAATGCTCAACGTGTTTTGGGTCAAGGTAGAAGAACAGATGGTTTCAATAAACGAACTGTGATCTCTCAGCCTACCTCTCCATCTAGAAGTCAGCGGGGCTCGAGGGAGGTTGAGGAGAATTATGATGATGATAGTGACGATGAAGGCACATCGTTCTCACATAAGGCGAATATGAAGCCACACCTTCCTCAAGTGGCTCGATTTCCGCCTGTATATTCACAGACTCGTCACCTACTTCCCGCTATTCGACATCCACTCGTACATGCACAGGGTATTGGTCGTCGCTCCAGATCTCGACGTCCACTTAACACTGACGCACCACAAGCGTCACCTCCTTCCCAATGGACCACTATTGCCAGCTCAGCATGGCTCGCCACAGACAGCTCCAACTTCAAACACCAAGAAGAGAGCGAGGAATGACGGCACTGCTGACATGGGCAACATTAACCAACAAGTCTCATCGAAGAGACCAAAGTTGCAAGATCAAGAAGACGATCAAGACGAGGATGAAGGTCAAGATGAGCAACGAGATCAATATCAAGATGAGCATCCAGTTCAACATCCAGTGCAATTTGAACCATTTGCAGGAGGTCCGAACCAGATTTTCCTCGCTCCATACCCACACAATTCAAGTGTGGCCAATCGGGAAGCTGCTCTTCAGTTACGATTAAAAGCTCCAGTTAGAGGTCCAGAAGTAGTTACAAGGACACTCGGGCAAACTGGTCCCCGCCTTCCAACTCTGGATGATTACCTCGCCGAGGATTGATTTATCCTGGGGTGAAAAGTGGTGCATTCAAGTTTGCAATTTCTTTGGTCGTGTTTATTGGGTTGACTCCTGAGATAGTGGTTGTAAGAGGGAGTTCTGGTAACAGGTCAGATTTTGGGTTAATTTTTGGATCTTGAGTGTCAATACGGGTTTTTTACGCATCTGGGAAGATCTGGTGTTGACTATGGCATCGGTTGTTTGCGATTTTGTGGATATGTATCCAACATGGCAGCCCGCCACGTTGGACGCTCTTCCATCTCGCGTCAACCTATAAATTGTGTTTGTGAAGTTGACTAGGCCCTCCAACCACCAGGCTTCCCCGCACCTATGCTGGCGTCAATTGAGACCGTTGGTACTTCTGGAGCGTGGACATGATTCTATTAAATATTTTTGGATGTGGATTGTTTTGTACACAGTAAGGGGTGTGAATCGCGATAGCGACTTGATTCTAGCAGGCGTTGGTATTTATTCTGTAATGGATGGTCAGAAAATGAGTCAAGGGCGTTTAGCATATGCTCAACAGCGTTGAACGATGTTACAAGCGGTTCTTTCCGGCATTTTCAGGTTGTTGATTCCACTCGAGTAATCAAAAAAGTTAATCTATAAACAAAGTCTTTGACACTTGAGCTCTGAGATGTGAAACTGTTGCAATCATTATTGATGATCCCCATTGATCACAATGAAAAACAATTTCGAAAGAATCATGGTAATCCTACTGACCTTCCGAAACAACGCATTTTAAGCTCACAATGAGCAAGGTGACTGGAAGAATTCTAAAGCTAGGATTATGCCCAGTTCTTCTGGTTGCTAAACGTCTTTGGCTCAAGTGAACTTTTATAAAAGCCACAAGATTAGCCTAGCCGTCTACTGATGACTTCCAAATCCACATGCCCCTCTCACTAGGAAGGTTTGTCGCTTGGTGTAGTTGACGTCTCGACTTTCCATTCGTGAAGGCTCCATACTTTCTAGATGAACAAATCTATCTTTGAGTCCTCAAGGAATTCTCCCAGAAGATTTCTAGGCTTATTCTGGTTTGTTCATAATGATGCAAAAGACGCTACTTCACCAGGCACCTCACTGAAGAGACTACTCAAGTGATGCCCCCCCACTTCCTGGCGCGTATTTGAAGTTCCATATGAAATCTTTAGCAGCGCACAATGAAAGGTTATTAGCTGAACCAGAAGACGTAGTTGTTTAACGTGGTCGAGGCCGTCTGTAGATCAGACTTACCTCAAGTGCAAGTCATGGCTGTTGCTAATGACACAGCAGCACTTTTCATCCACGAACTCGAGAGTCCTCGCGTTCTGAATGGATGAGCCTGCCGAGTTCGGCTTGGTATACTGATACCATTGTTTTTCAAATTCATAGATCGCATGACTAATTATGTGACTGATTTGTTGCGTAGTCACGCATTCACAGTACTCATAAGATTATCTCTTTAGGCATAATCAACTTCAAGATTGATGTGAGACGGCTTAAAATTCAGTCCGCAAACAGAGTAGACAGAAGACACAATACGCTTTAACTGATTGTACGCAGAACCTGAGGTCTTGCACATTTTTACAATGCGTCGAATGGGCGAAATGAAAGGTCTTTGATATCAAGATGAAATTATGTCTTCCTCTCTTGTAGCGAAGACTTCTTCCTAGCAGACTGAACCACTCAGGGGCTGTTTCTCGCCTCAAACATCTGCCTTTCTTGTTGCATCCTTTGCTTCAACCATATAATACAATTGATTATTTTCAGTAGCTGTTCCTTTGTACGTTCTAATAGTTGAAAGGAGAACAAAGGAAGCTTGGCAGGTTACAGTCATGAACCCCGAACCCTCGGACTATGGACAATTCCGCCCTCCGCAATCAGTAGTTCGTCTGAACTTAAGCCATCTCCACACTTCATCACATCGCTGACGACATACAATTGTTTCATTGATACAATTGATGAACTATCTTCTGGACATTGTCTGAATATCATTAATTCACCGCAGCTTCATCGTTTGAACTGCTGCGTTCCATCCGACAGGGCTAGCACGGACCAATTAAACGATAAGAACCTTAAGCATCATCTAGAATCAAACAACACACGACCGAGAAATCCGGTGGTAGGAGTAATACAAACTTCACGAGAACCTCAAAATAGAATGGAAAGACGACTTGTATGACCTGAAAGCTCCACTTCAGTGTGATACTGAATGTCTCATAGTAGATCACAACAAAATGTCTGCCGACTTCTCATCTTCTAATCCTTTCAGAAGAAAAGGACCCTTCGCACCTTCAACTGCATCGTCCTCTTCAATACCTGTTGTCAATCAATTCACGCAATTGGATCCATCTGCGACTTCGATTCCCGAATACACATATCCAGCAAGACAAGATGTGCCAAAGAAAATACCCAAAAGGGTTCGAGTCCAGTCTCCACCACCTCCATCTCCCTCGATCCCCGATTCTACATCTACTATAGGGGATGACCTGGTACCTTTCGAAATTCCACTCCAAAGATCTCAAGAGGACGAGCAGGACCCATTTGAAACGATTAAATCTGATATTTCAGACGATGAGGAAGAGAAGAAAACTCCAAAGACTCGCATCCTGAACCCATTTTCAAAAACATTGGAAACGTTGGAGAATTCAGGACGAGATGCATCAAGCATAGCACCTGCAAAACTCACGAATCCCGCAAGAGCCTCTATGGATGTGGATGCATTCAAGAGGCTATTGATGACCGGAAATGCGGGGTTGGGATCTTCTACCCCGCTGCAATCCCCTCCCGTTCATGCATTACGCGACGAGGGAAGCAGCAGTACAGAAACATCTTCTCTATCACGGCAGTCGATATTCGAATCAATACAAGATCCACATCAAGAGTCACCAAGATCATCACATGAAATATCAGAGCCGGATGAAGTACGAAGGGCAGTGTCTGACTCCTCATCATTACACGTGAAGAAGAGACCACCTCCACCGAGTTCGAGACATCATGGTAAATTGATTAAAATGGAATTGAGGGATGAAAATGCAGTCGTTTCTCCTTTATCTCCACCACAGTCAATGTCTGCAACTCCTCAGTACTTTCCTATTATGACTTCAACGCCGAATCGCTCCTTGACAGATCTCAACAAACCTTTACCTCCAGCACCACCTCGTGAGAGTGGTGAATCCGAACGAGAATCTCCATTTGATAGAGAGTCTGCGGGGAAAGCACCAGAACCACCATCTCCATCTTCATCAATAAGAAGAAAGGCAGCTCCTCCACCACCCGTTACCCGAAGACACAGCCAGCTCCTTGTCGACTCAAAGCTGAGTCGAAGTAGTTCCGCAAGACTTTCACCGAGATTGGAAGAAGACAATACATCGGTATACTCAATCGAATCTGGACTACCTCGATCTAACAGTGGAAAGGTTCCACCTCCACCTCCCACACGAAAACATGGTATATCTCGATCCCAATTACAACACGTATCTTCCCCGCCATCTGCGACGTCCTTACCTGTACCACCACCAACAAGAGGCTCCTCAAAACACGGCAGAGCACCATCTATACACAGCATTGAACCTCCAAGTCCTCATATTTCCAAACGCACCTCTCTTCAAGGACCACCACCGCCACCACGTCCTCGCCAAGCGCGGAACAGCCTTGATGTATCTCGGATCACACCTGCCTCTTCAACTCGTGTCAGTGGCGAATATCGACGAAGTTCTAACGCTTCTTCAATGTCACAAACTTCACGATACGAAGAAAATAATACCATCAATTCTACTAGCGGTCATACCAATATCCTAGCAGACCTCAGTGCATTACAACAAGAAATTGATGCGCTAAGGAATCAATCACAGCAACGGCAGCGAAGTGTCACATGAAAGATATGCCTTGGGTAACTCGATTATCCTCCTGAAGTTTAGACAGGCAACCTCGGGTCACCAATATCTGTTATTGGATCTTGTAGGCATCAAATATCATGGTCTATATTGGCAAATGAAGGAGCATCAGAGCCCTACAATTGCGGGTGCGGTGGCAGCGCCTTTGGGCGGATATTTGGAATTTGGATGGCTACATATGGAAACAAGAGAAAGCCGGTTTAGAAACTTGGATTTCTTGGAATTTGCAACGACAATTCCATATTTATAATGTCTAGTTTCAGAGCGGTATGGGAGATTTAAAGTTGGGCATGACAGATATACACTCGGACTTTTTGACTTGAGGTTGGATTACTGAGTCTGGACTTCCGACCTTTTAAGAATACGGCATTTGATTTTTCCATTCTTGGAGCTATCAAAACAAAACAATAAAGAAATGGGTACAATGCGAGGGGCGAGAACTTGAAGGATCTAGGTTGTGGACACAGTTTACTACTTGCAGCAGTTGCGAAATGCAGAGTGAATTATTGATGGCTATTGAAGATCCATTTTTGGAGTGAAATGGATTGCTCGAAGGATAGTCCATGTTCTAATTGTTCTTCCACGAAGCTATCTAAAGCTTCGAGAGAATATCGTGAAGCGAGCAAGAAGCACAGAACCTCGAATAACCCTGAAGAAAGCTGAGTAGGTGTCTTGATCGATCGGATCGACCGTGTGACGGGCGGGAATTTACTGTTTCGTGCAGGCGGTGGATTTGGGTGGAGGTTGGTTTAGTGGATTGGGACTGGATCGTGGCAAGTGCATTGATAGGATATCGTAAATTCGGAACTACAGAGTGACTAATGGGGCAGGAGAGGGGCGGTGAGTGAGGGGTGCGGAGTTTCTTCGGGTATTGGTTTGAAGGCTGATTGAAGGATTGAGAGTTCTGGGATGGTGCTTGAAGACTATTCAGGCTGAGAAAAGATGGGTGGAGTTGAGAGGTTACTGGAACTAAAAGTACATGCCTGTGTACCTACTTTGTTCAATGGTGACCTTTGTTGGGACTTTGCGGGGCATTCAAGATGCTTCGATTAGAATGATCATGCTGGACAAAGGGTACCTTGAATAAATGGAAAAAGAGAGGTTGTATACTCCACTTTGCACATATGAGAAACTGGATGATAAGAAAAAAAATTGTATATTATAGTGCGCTAAGTATATCACGGATTAATATTGAATATTTCAAGAAATCATTACCATCTTTCTAGTGCGGATCTTTTCAGAGTGGATTTCTAAGACCTCGGGTACTGCTGATCTCGGAAGTTGGTCACAGATCATTCTCTGGTTTGGGACTCTGGGAGAGAGGGGATGAAGAGGAGGGGTGGGAAGATCAGCAGACTCCGAAGGTGGAAACCGGGAAGTTCCGAGTAAAGTGTGCTGATTTTTGCAGCATTGTGATTTTGAAGGGATAATGTTGGATAGGTAGGTTAGGCCGGCTGGGTAGCTTAGAGATTAGGAATTGGGAAGCTGGGAAGCTGGTGAGTGTAGCGTAGGTGGTGTCTTTAGTTTTTATTGGGACAGCTAGGCTGAGCTTGAGAGAACCTCGAGAGAAAATTGTGGTTTCTGGAGAAGAAATGCTTGCAATGTTATGCGTTGCATGTAGGATGACGCGAGATGAAAAATTAGGAATGAGCCTAGTGGTAGTGTATCTTGATTCTTGGTTTTTTCTTCCTTTTCTTTTTCTATTTTGCATGATGGAACTAGTATCTATCTACTTTTCAAAAGCCAGGTCTACATCTCCAGAAAAACGCATATGGTGTAAGAGGCGGAATTGAGTTTTCCTTTCACAAGGACATTAGAATTTGGCGCTCTCACGCATGATGTTCTAGTGGAAAAGTGGGGGGTGTTGATGTGAAGAGGTGGGTTTGTTTGGGGATCAGGGTTGAGACTAGTGTCTTGACTTCTGTCACTTGGAATTTGAGTTTACATTTTAGCTTTTGGCTTCCTTCAGCTTTATTTCTAGCTTTATTTCTCGCTCTAGCTTAACATCTGGGATCTGGGGGTTTCTTCATGCAGGAATATTGGAGTTTGTCTAGTCTGGTATGTCGATATACGATTTTCGATTTTCCCAAAGGTATCCGTGTGCGCGGAGATGATTAAATGAAATTTAGCTTGGTTTAGTGGGAAGTAGGAAGATGGATGAATGAGAGGGAAGGGAACGGCGGTTAGTGCACGTGTAATTGATTGATTTGATTAATTAATTAATTGATTATTGGCGGGAGCGGGAGTCTGAGAGTTTTTGAGACGGGAGCCTGAGCGGAGTTTACGGTGTAGGGTTCGGTGTCTTTGAGAGTTGGTTGCTAAGATGAAAAGTGATCTGCTAGTGGGAAGGGAAGCATTTGATGTTGAGGTATTGTGCTAATTTTATTTCTATACTTTGGTGTTCTAAATTCCCCTTGTGGGATATGGGATATGGGATTTGCATTTCAAAATTTGCCCATGATTCATGGTATGATCTTGATCATTTTCATCGATCACTAATATAAAGTTATATTTACAAGGATGCATCTATCCGATCGCAAAGTCTAACGCGGATAGAGGTGCAGAATTCGGATCCCCGAGTCCGGATTACCAGAGCGGGTTTGGCGACGGGGTTTTGACAATCGGGGTTGGCAGCTGAGTGATGGGATTGGGTTAGTGGGTGTGAATTTTTTGGCGCTTTGGGTTTGTTTGGTGCTTGATTGGGAGATTGAGAGGAATGGATGTGTGGATGGATGAGGCCTTAGATTTCTTGATCTGGATTTGGATGTTGATTTCCCGGATTGTTCGGCTTTGTAGGGTGGTGTGCTTGATTTGATGGTTTGAGGGTTTGATCGAGGGACTTGGTCACGGATAAATCGCAGAGTCATAGTGAGACATAATTCAGAGGGTGGATACATTCATAACCTGTTTACGTGTGCGCTTTTACTATTTGGAATACGCACATACTCGATACGATATCAGTAGCATCACGAGATTATAACACTGACTAAAAGCGGAAAGTTGATACTTGCCACTTTCAACCGGTCTGAAATCTGAAAATCAAAATTCCGGGCGTGGACTATGAGCATACGCATACATGCACGATAATGCATATTGAAATATATGAGATTTCTTAGATTTCTTCTAGGGTTCGGGAATATTATTGGATGATTTTTGGAGGAGATGTAGGAGATTGGTGGTTAGGGCTGAGGGCTTTTTCTTAGTTTCTATCTTGATGTGAATGTGTGGATGAAGGAAACGGGAATTGGATGGATTGGTGAGTTGGTGAGTTTTCGAGAAGAACTAGATGGGTCTGTGATGTTGGGTTTTTAATCTCTCATCTTTAGTGTAATGTGAGAAAGTTGGTTGGTTGGTTGGTTGAGGAGGGTTGGGATGGGGTTTACGGTTTACGGTTTGAGAGGCGTGTGGTGTGGATATGAGAGGCTGTGATGGGGGTGAGATTTAGATTTAGATTTGGGTTGGGGGGTTATAGAGGTAGTATTATGGTGAAGTGATGTGATGGGTAGTGGGTAGTGTGGTAATCTAGATGTGTTTGGTTTTTACGTGTGATGTCTTGGACACCTGCCTACTTAGTTGGTGCATTCAAGAAATTGTGTGCACGGAACGGGAAGATAGGAGATGAGATCCAGAGGAAATATTAGAATAGAATTAATAGACGGCATATGTCGTATTGGTAGGCGAAAACAGCATGTGAGTAATATACATTCCGAACGATTTGCATAGAGATGTCGAGTCCGAAGCGAATGATGAGTTGATCGGCAAGAGGAGGGAGAAATGGCGAGGAGCTGGAATTGGGTGGTGAGTAACTAGTATGCAAGCTTAGGGATGGGAGGAGGGAAGAATTGAATGAAGGAAAGTAAGGAAGCGAGAGAAGGTGAATTACGACGATGTGTTGATTATAGATATGTATATCTACATTACATACAGACTTGAATTCTTCACATCCGGTCTACATCTGTATACGATATTTCCGTATCCGATATGTATTATCTGTGTAGGTGTGTGTATCGTAATGAAATATCTCCCCGTCTCCGCCTCTGTCTTTCTTGTGCAAGCATTAAGTATGATTACGAGGCCTTGCTATGCTATGCTGTGATATAAAATAGTATGTGTGTGTGTGTGCGAAACGAACACGAAAAGTTCTAGATTCAGTATCGAAAACAAAGACAAAAGACTTTGGGTGTATGCTGATCATAGCATATGATGCAGTATTAATCTTCAGTATAGTCTATGCAATGCACCGGAGAATTCTACCATGGCTTTGAATTATCGATTTCTAAACTACCCATCCATTCATCCATCTATCTATCCCGTATAGGATATTGATAAGAAATAGCATTCAAACCACCGCTAAATATCCAACCTCAATTTTAAATCCCGAACCCTCTTCCTCCTCTAAGAACCCCCAGACCCCTCACATACCTCCCACAACTTCAATATCCAAAGTCCATCATCCACCTCGTCTCACACTCACTCACACACCACCCACATGCCGTTTCATCAAAACGGTCGAGATGCATACGCGAAATCGCGCTGGTGCAACATCGGGATACACGGATGCGCCGCCAGGCATACCGCGAGCGAGGTGTGAGATTGATTCTGGGGTGAAGAAGTGTGAAGAATTGGGGGCAGATTCGTTGGAGATACGAGGGGTGCTTTGGAGGTTAGTGAGATATGTTGATTTTGGGGTGTTGATTGATTGATTGACAACTTGCTATTTTGGTTCCGGATGAGACATGGGTGTTGGATTGTTGATGTTGCCTATTTACAGAGTACTATGGAGTGAGAGACTAGGTTAAACGTCACGATTTTGTGGCGCGATTTTAGAGTTTTTGCTAGGGGGGAGGGAGGGAAAGAGAGAATCATGATGATGATGATGATGGGATGGGGTGGGATGGGATGGAATAATGAAATGGATATTATTAAAGTTATATCTTCAATAACCATTTATTACCCAAAGCGGTATATCAATAAACGGGATATGGAAAGCACTATTCCATGATAGCAACATTCCCTACTCCCTACCTAGACAATAAACCCCATCTAAAACCTACGCATCACATCCCCATTCCACCTCTGCTCCTCATAACTTCGGGGAATTCCCTTCCTCAACCTACTTTCCCATCCAATAAACTTTACGCATTGATACTTTCTTCTTCCCATCCAACTGGTCATGTTTTACTTTCATATCATGAATGGTGTGTTAGTCAGTGATGGATTATTAAACTTGAGAGAGAGGGTTGGAGTGAGAAGTGCCATGCTGATACGCTGGTGACTCGTGGAGGGCGTGCAGATGGTTTGTGTGGTGATCCCGTGGCCATGTGGTACGGTGATAGGGATGCTGTTCTTGGTTTTTGGTTATTGGGTGTAGCGTGCCAAGATGTGCGGGTGGAGGGTGGTTGGTGGTGAGTGATTGAGTGAGTGAGTGAGTGAGTGAGCAAGTTAGTGAGTGATGGTTTCGGGGTTTAGTTGAAGATTCTTGATATAGGGATGGGAAAGGTGTTATTGATTAGTTTATACTTAGCTTGTTTTTCTACATTGTATGTGCACTTATTGCATCGATTGCATTGATAAGGGTACTACTAGGTAGGGACTTCTACTGATTCTTAGAAAGGTTAGACGAATCTATATTCTCGAGCTTCAACTCCGATCACCCAAATGTTCTATTCTTCATGTAACATACACATCATCCATTACATCTTCTCTGCCCTGTCACCAACATCTTAGTATTCTCAACTATTTGGCATTGGTAAGAATAACAAAACATCCCTACCTCACAAATTCCACCCATACAATGCGGGGTTGTGGCGTGGACACGGGTAGATACATTCCAGCCCTCCACTTTCCTGTATCACCCAGCTCCTCATTTCCACAGCTACATTAACCTACAATTTCACGCATGTATCAATTAGCGTTCTAAAGCTTATACAGAGTATACTTAATTACAGTGACAACGCAGCAGCATAAGGTAATTTCCAGCTCACCACTAGTTTCTCATCGTACAAGGTCCCCTCCCAAATCCCACTCTCTTCTGGTGGTCGAAACCGACACTGCTCATCGGCGTCGGAACTCGAGACCGAATTAGCGAAGGCGATCCCCCATTCCTGTTGCTCGCATCCCCATACTAATGTATATTTAATGTAACTCACTTCATCATTCGAAACAAAGTACTGGTACACAATACAGTAAGCACTTGTATGCAAATGAATCATGGAAGCTAATGGAATTACTGTACAGGACAGGAGTAATTGGGATCACCAGGGAGCAGGATAAACAGGACACCGACAAAACAGTCTCGTACAACGCGAGATCTCTACCTAGTCAAGTGCGCCATGCAGATGTCAATCTGAATGAATGTTAACGCGAACGAATTCATTACAGTCTGCTTGTGAGCAAATTCCGTTAGCAAGATAATTAGATTGGCCGTATGCAAACTATTCACCAAAAGGGTGAATCCTGCATTTCTCCCCCGTAAAAAAATGCCATGCCATGCCTCCAAGACCTCAACCACCATTCCCAACTGCGATGCAACGACGACTCCTGCATAAATCCTCAGCATGTCGAAAACAACCCGAAAGCACACATACACGGCCTACGGGCCCAGCAGATCCCGTGCACTTTACCCATCCTTTCATCCTATCCATTCATCCCAAGCTTTGCGTAGCACCAGTCACAGAAGTCGAGAGCTGAACCCGATCCCATGGAACCGAATATGAATGCATGGCAACGGGTCGAAGCTGACGAACGAAACTTCTGTGAGATGATTTCTCAGCTGCACGGGCCGAGTGGGATATTGGTCGGTCCGGATTGGGGTGTCAGATTCGGGTTGGAGGGTGTGGAGGAAGGATTTTTACTGAGGTGGTGACATTTGGATAGGGATGAAAGGGGAGGATGTTGTGGAGGGTAGGATTGGGGTTTCTAACGGTGTGCTTATGGACCAGAGGACATGGGTATGTTAGAGAAGGAGAGAATGAGGATAATCAAATGATATTGATGATTTTCGATAACCCCCTTATTCTCCTATACATTCATACCCTTTCAATCATCACTACGTAGCATTTCTCTTTCATGATCCATCTCTGTGCCTTGTTCTCGAATAAGCTGAAAATCAATGAGCGTTAATAAGCATGAATATCCATGAATATCCATGAAATATCCATTTATATCCTTCCATCTAGCCCGTCGAACAATTTCCCGAACTTTTCCCATTCTATTTTCTTCAATCGATCAGTAATCACTGCCTGTGGTCTATCAATTCCCACTAGCCAATTCCTATCTCTCTTCCCGTGACCATCCCCATTCTTTCCTTATCAGCCATCATCTCCCTGCCAAAAGCCAATGGTTACACAGAAAGTCACATTATCGCTTCTCCACCTACCTCCTTTCCTCCATTTCGCACCGATAGTGGACACGCACCAATCAATCGAGATTACAGTTCCCCTTGTTTCAGCTGGTTAGTTCTCTATCGAACGTTCGAGACGAAATTAGGGATGAGCAAGGTGTATAATTTGAATGAAATTTACGATGTTACATTACTAAATTATCACATTAAGAATATATATAGCATGTAATATGTGTGATACAAGTATGAATTTTATGTAAGTGTAGATTCTTTTGAAAATCTTTAAAAACTTTTAAATCTCTACTTGATATTTAAATATATAATCACTTTAATTATGATTATATATTATAATGAGTTGATGATTATTATACTTTATATAATTACGATTCGCTTATCCCTAGACGAAATGTCACGGAAGTATACGTACGTACTTGCTTGTTATCTTCCCGGCTGCCCAAGCACCATACCACCCTTTCTACATTAGGGTTTTTATATCCGGATTCTCGTAACCTAAACCTACCTTGGGTATCGCACGATACATCCAGCGTGTTGAAGAATGGGGGAATGATTGAGTATCGCATCATCATCACTCTGCATCCACATCCCAACTGTAATATATCATTGGATCTATCGTATCTATCCCTTCCATGCTACCCACTGATAGCCATCCAGAGTTCTGTGTAGTGCCAAAAGCTAGAGCCAGCCGTTTGTTTCTGGTCTTCATCAAATGATGACTCCCGTCAAGGACCAGGCCCCATCCATCATTCCACTTACAGAATGCGAGCATTGGCATCCGTGCTGCGGAAGGTCTGTGCGAAACATTGGAATCTAACGCAGTAAGTGATATGTCATCACGTATCATCTCATACCATATCCAGAAACCCAACACATATATCTTCAATAATGCTGTAATCAATTTCTTGGGAACACGGAGCCGTAAGCTTACCTTCTCTGATAATTTCCCAATCGACCCAAGAATGCGAAAATCCATGCGCATTCCATCCCCAAAGTTTGGTTCAGTGCTTACCGTGGGGCGGCTTATGCTGACGGTCTGTCAGCATTTGTCCTGTAAATACTGTACTAGTAAGGTTTTTGATAGACGGAGGCATCTCCGTGACGTTCTTGATGATGATGATGATGATAAATCTCCGCCAAGAAAAGTTGGAGTATCCGAGGCGCGAGATGATCGGGTACCACGATGCGATAAATTACTACATCCGATATATAACTCCGTCTGCGAGCGATCCCAGCCCTGAAGCACCCCGGGTGTCCCTTTTGTAAACATGGATTGGGAGGTTTCCAGACCGGGCATGAGTACATCTGAGCGCCAAACTTGCGGCGGTAGGTTGTGTCACGTTGAATTAAACGCTGCATGGTGACATCTTTCTTGACATGATGGGAGGGATCTTGATGTTCATCTTGACGTAAAGAACATCGGACAAGATGCTGGTGCGGAAAACCCTGTATGCGAAGACACTCAGGGGGGATTTGATAGGAGCCAGGGCTCTACGGGACCATGTCTTGGGAATGCATAATCTCTAACTTTCTAAGCATACTCATTTTACGGACAGTATCAGATCACAATACATACCAACGCCCCTAAAACCCTCCGTAGTACGTACCTGCAGAAAGTCCGCTCTTTCATCCAAGTCTCACAGTGGTACACTATCTTAATCCAAGTACCGACTAATATTGAGTTTCCATCCTCAAACTTTATTTCTGGATTCTGGAAATCATTGAAATCTCCGGTCATCCGAGAGAGGTCTATGCGATAGGAGATGGGAATGGGGATTTGTATTTGCGGATGTGAATGTGGAAGTTCGATGGGAGTCGAGCGCTGGGGTTTAGTATTTTGAGTTTGATGTTTGATGAATGGGCTGAGAGAATATGGAGTAGGATGTTGATTTTTGAGTTTGGAGTCCGGAGTGATGATTTCGCAGGGGTTAGGTGCAGGGGAGTCGGGAAGGGAATACACTGTGTTACAGAGCGAGGTGTTTTAGGACTAAAGGGAGAATAGATAAGGAGACGGAAGATATATTAATGTATTATGTGAAATATGATGATAGATATAGATATCACATTTTATAATCATTCTAATATACATATTTGAAATACGTTTCATAACTAGAAGCTAATTAGTCGGGAAAAAGTACGAATGTCTTATATATAGAACTAATGCTTTTATATCTATTAAAAGATCTAATAAATGAATAACTGAGAGCTAGTAATTTATAAAATATAATCTAAGAAGACAAAATATTAAATAGATTAAGAGCCATTTTAAAAAAAATTATTATTAGAAAATGATTATTTACTCTAGAAATAAATTAATTAAAAGATTAAGTTAAAGTTTTAAAGCTTCTAAAGCTATGAAAGCTATGAAAGCTATTAAAGAATGAAAGAAATATTTCTAATTAATTCTAAGACTCGAGATATATAAGAAAAGAGATAAAAAAAAAAGCTTAGATTGATTATAAAGGAGCGATGCTCTCAGATCACGTGATATGAATCGCTATTCTATATTAGTTGTTATTAGATTTATTCAATGAATGTTTAGATCGAATTTACCTCGTATAAGCCAGTACACAGACCACCCTTTCAAAACATTTCTAATCTCTGAATAGCTTCAAATTTCCCATTGAAAAGAATCAATAATAAAAAGCTTTTCAAATTCTACTCCTAGAAAAGCTGCGCAGTACGAGTGTAGGCGTAAGTTCTAAGTAGCTTCAAAAATAACTACGGAGAGCGCTAGCGAGCCCGTTGTTATTTTTAGTCGCGAAGGGCCGAGAAAAAGCTCATTCATTATATAATCCTTAATTCATAATTCATAATTCATATTCCATATTCATATTCAAATATTTACAAAACAGTATACAATACAAACATACCTCATATCTACATCTCCATCTCCAACCATCAACAAATTCCCTCATCATTTCTCGAATCCAGATCCGATGACCAGCTAACCTTCAGCCTATTCTTCGGGTACCTACCTACCTACCTACCTATAGTACATCACAACTCTCCAAATTCAAACCCTAAAAAAAACCCACACGTTATCCAAACTTACAACATCTGCCAATCCCCATCATCGATCCTTCAATCACCCACGCTAACTTTATTCCAACTTAACTTTGACCTTTTGGTCCTTGCACAACCTATCTTCTTCTTCTTTAGTATACACTACATACCCTATCCGCCGCACGCACGCACACATGTAAATCACAAGACCCCTTCCCAACCGTTGACAACCGTCTCAACCGTCAACTTACACCTTTTAAACTTTGCTTTCGCTCTCACTCTCACTCTCGCTCTTTTTCTGGGGTTCCGTGGTTCCGTGGTTGCGTGGCTGAGATCTCCGTTTGTGTGTTTGTTTGTTTGTTTGTTTGTAAGCGAGGGTAATGGTGATTATTACTATTTAGGGAGGTAGATAGGTGGCTTGTTCACTTGTTTGGGGAAAGGTGTTCGTGTGTGTGTATCTTAGGGGTTCGGTAGTGATGGAATAGAGTTTATTGGTTTATTTTATTGATTTATTGATTTACTGATTTTACTGATTTACTGATTTACTAGTTCGTGAGTTGGATATGAGATGAGTTGGGCTGGGGGCCAAAAGTTAAAAGTCAGAGTTTAAAGGTGAAGCTGGAAGTGAAAAGTTTAAAGATGATAGTTGGTTCATAGCTGATACTTGGTAGTTGAGAATGAACATATTGCTCAGCCTCCTGTCTTCTTGGTTTGTTTCGCGTCGGGCCGTCTTGTGGCTCAGCTTGACGGGGTATGCATGCGTATGTGTAGACATATTGAAATGAGTTTCTGGGGAGATGAGAGATGAGAGATGGTAGAAATATAATATTTATGAGATACGGAGGGAGTGGTGTGATTGGATATTGATATGTAGTAAGGAGGGAGATGGAGATGAGATAGAATGGAGATGGAGATGAATAGATGGATTTAGAGCTGGGCTGGGGGAGGAGAGCGGAGGATGGAGATTGCGTGGTTAGATTCTTGGAGTCTAGACTTCAAAGATTAGAATCTGGATGGGATGGGCGAGGAGGTGGAGATTGAGGCAGGAAGGGGGAGGAAGAGATGGGTTGGCGGAGAGGGATGGAATGGAGTATTGAGTGTTGAGTATTGACTATTGAGTGTTGGGAATCGCGCTCTGTATAGTGCCGTTACTTGGATTCATGGATTTACAGAGAGAGAGATCGATCCATTTCCGATAGACGAGCCTGAAACCATTCACGGTGAAGAACATCTCATCTAGCTCCCTCATACATCCAATAATGAACACATCAAAAACACAAGCAAGCCCAGACCTAGACCCATCCATCCCCCAAACTCGGCACTTGCACCTTCAAACCTTTTAACTCCCTAATCGAGACGAACATGTTCGTCCGGAAGTACCGGCCACAATAAACTTTGCGGTAGGTACCCTCTTTATCATTTTAACTTCAAAGACATACGTATATGCCATTATGATGTTCTTTGCCAAACATTCCATTCCATTCCATATCTTCGAGTTGCAAATCTTCTATCTTCTCAATCTTCTGTACCCAGCGCCGTGGGGGTAAATAATATGATATGATATGATATGATCAACGACACGGAGGATTCTGGAGGCGAAAGTTTAAATCTTAATCTTTGACTTTTAGATGTGATAGCGGTATACGGCGTGACGGAGTGGCATTGCTTAGCTTTTTGGATGGCTGCGGGTAAGGATTTGAGCTTGGGGCTTGAGGCTCGGTCTATTCGGAGTCTGTTTTCTCCGTGATGGAGGGATGGGATGGGATGGGTTTGCTTGTTCATGGTATGGGGAAGGGATCATGGCTGGAGGAAAGATGATCTGTTCTTTGGTGTGGGGTAGAGAAAGGAAGGGGATGAGAGATGGAATGATCAGGTATGAGGGAGGAGGGAGGTATGAGGGAGGATGAGATTTGAGTTTGGGTTTTGATGAGAGGTATTGTAATTTATAGGCTTGATGTTTGTTTTAGTGATTCTTGAATTTATTGTTATTTTTATATTTTTATGTTTTTGTATTCGAAAATTAAGTGTTTTAATTCTATAATATAAATAATAGAAAGAAGAATTAGGAAGTATTATAGTTACAGATATAGTTATAATTACTATAGAAAAGAAAGCATCGTGAATTACTAATAACTGAATGGTATGAGTTGAGTCAAGAATCTCTTCCGACGAGAGAATCACTGACTCTGATGATATGTTCTCGTAAAAAAAAACATTATGTCACATGATCAAGTGTCAAAGGTGGGATGTTACACAAAACGTTACACAAAGAACAAAGGTTACACAAACCCAATGACTCGCAAAAGAACAACTTGACAATTCGACATTAATCATACTCTCCTCTCCTCGGTAGTCATCATTGTACAACTAAAGCGCAACTACCAAGGATGGATCATTGAACCCGATGAACAGGGTGAGCTTTGATTTGCATCCCATTTGATCCATCCCCCATCCCATCTCTCATGAAATTATAACCGATTCCTTTCCCGCTGTCTCTTTCCGATCTCCAGAACCCAGATGTGGACGTTGATGTTGGTAGGCGGAAAGGCCTGATTGAAGATCGAGGGCCGCTCCGTGGTGTCCGTCCGTAGTAGACTGGTACTTGGTAGCTACATCTAGAATCTGCCTAGATGGAGACGGTCCGATGCGAAAGTGCTCGCTCAGACGATGTTTGTCGGAGCTAAAGGATCTAGGGAAGTCCTAGAGAGGAGAGAGCTTGGATCATAACCTCGGTACTTTATCATTTCGATTCCTAGGTACAAGTACTCATTCTTCGATTCCTACCTACTCCTATCCTACGTCTACCCGACTCATCTCCAGAGAAATGAAGGGGCGGATTGTGTAAGTAATCCCGTGTCAAGATAATCGTGCTCGTCCGGCTGTAGATAAGTATATACGGAAATACACAGAGTACATGATAGAATGTCTAGGATCGTCACGAACATGGAAGATGCCGAAATGTCCATGTCGTAGACTAGATGGGTTGATATGAACATGACTAGTTTGTTGATCGCCCTCTCCATAATAAAAAGCATCAACATTCGCGACAGCCACCTGAACAGGAACCTGTCATTTTGGTGCTACGACATATGGGGTAACGGCTATTGAAGAGGCTCGACTGGGATTAGTTATGTTCTTACCAGACTTTTCGATACAGAGTAGTTTTATGACATCTTCCGTGCGACATCTTCCGTGCCCCTAGATGGTTGGTTCACTGTATGGTGGGTGGGTGGTGAAAAGAAGGTCGAAGGGTCGAAAGAGGGGTCACTTGAGATCATTTACTTCATCGGTCTTGATTTGCCTACTTTGATACCTAGTACTCAAATGATTTATGGACATTCTTAACTTGAGAGTCTAATTCGTCAATCTGATCCGAATTCATTTACAAAGTGTACCACACGGTGTCTAAATCGAATCGTCATCTAGTGACATCTACACCATCCTTACCTCTATAAGCCTCAACATGAATCAAACGTTTGATTTCTCCTCCAACATGATTCAAACGTTGAACCTCAATCTCCTCTCTAAGTTGCCTCTCTAAGTTGAGTGCAGACCATAACGGGGGAGGGGCGGGCAAAGACCGAGAGATTTACATGTATGAACAGACGAGTGAGAAAAAAAATAGGAAAAGTATTTTCCCCCAATTTTGATAGCGAAAGGGCCGACGACGATCAATATTTCCACTTCTGCACGTGTTCCCAGTAGCGTATGTACTATGTATGTGTGTAAGTATGTTTGCGCAATGGATATGTATCTAGTTAAGTGTACTTTTATTTTATTTTGTCCGTCCGAGGATCCAAAAAAGGTCACGATGATGAGATGTCTTTGATGCCGACGATGTTGGTTGTGTGGATGAGGGATCAAGAGAGGCCAAATTGTTAGTAGGTTGGTAGGTTGATTAGAACTATACAAGATTGAATGCATGTACGCCTGATGTGAAGAGTTACACAAGGGTTGATTTATGGCGAAAAGAGGTGAGATTTAGCGAGAGGTTGGAGAGATTGATGGATATTGTTTTTGATGGAGTTTTGATAGATTATAATTAATCCAAGGGAAAAAAAAGATTGTTCTGTAAGGGGTCCTTTTTTTTTTTATAAATGTCCAATTAGTTGTCCAATCAGACGCTCAGTTGAATGTTTGGTTGGATGTTCATTTAGATATTATTTAGATATTCATTTACATGTTCACTGTCCCCCCCCTGATCCGTACAATTGACTTAGTGTAACATGAGTAACAGAGTATTTTTATGGAGGAATCTTCAGAATGGCTTACGAGTTATGGAATAGTGTCAAATACCTAGGAACTCATCCTGACCCAGATACCTTGGTAGACACCACAGAAACTACAGATGCTGCAGATGGATAGGTGAGAAGTTGTCAAGGATTTTCCTAGTTGCGATCCTCGTTAGATCAATAAACCTACGTTAGACCTACATTAGTATAAAGGCAGTTTGAACCTGGATTTTATTCAGTAGCTGGTGTGAAGAGTGTGAGCACGAGCACAGGTAAAGCATTAGAGAAAGCTTGGTGACTTTTCAACTTGTGTGACATTTCTCTGTAAGGTTAAGGCGGGGTTGGAACTTGGAACTTTTCGTTTTGGAATTCAAAAGAAATGTGACTTTAATAAGAATATTAAGAATAGATAGTGAGAAGCAGGTAGTTAAAATAGATGGTAGTGATATTAACAACAATATGGATATGACATATCATTCGGATTTCATGGTATCACATATTCATCACATTATTTATGTAGCGATGAGGGAGATAGAAGATACTTTACCTACTGTGGCACTGCCTTCATATCATTCCCTATTTAGATCTTGACTACACCTGCATCGTTTAATCATGATTTCCAGAATATCCCGTACAACCTCCATTCTATGGATGTCTAACGGAAGAAAACTTCCTACAACCCTGGGAGGGAAAAGAGTGGAAACCTTTCTTCCACAACTTCCAAGCCTCACTCTCTCACTCGCCTCACTCTCCCTCAAATTCCTCACTCCCTTGACCATGGAATGTGGAAACTTCATGACACTAGCTTTAACGATCGATCCCAAACTTCAAACTTCACAGATTTCTCGGTATTTCTCTTCCATCACACGGGAAAAATAGATTCAAATCAAAAGTCCCCCGAATTTCACCCTCACCCCAGAGAATCGAGGATCGCCCATTGAAAAGTTAAAATATCCCTGAGCTGAAACCCTCTTCTTGTGACGCTCCTGAGCTGAGCCTACCAACTACATTGTTCTCCTGAATGAACCGGAGAGCTGCCATCCCGTGAGAAGCCCAGAGAGCATGATATGTGATGTCTACCAAATGATCTAACTGGATTCTGTAAGTCTAATGAATTTTGGAGCTTTTCGATCTGTGATGCACGATTCAGGGACACATTGAATGTCACTAGTTTTCGCCCAGAGAATTCATCTGAATTGATGCATGGTTCTGGAATCACAGTGATCCTTTTTTGTTTGATACTCGTATGATACTTAGTAGACTAATTTACATTTTCTTCGATCTTTGGGTCTATCTGTTTTAAGTAATAGTTACATATCTCACTCCATCCTAGCTATACCATTGTTTATATATATATATATATATATCCACACGTATTCGTATCAAGAAGAGATATAACGTCATATTATATCATTCTCTGTCTTCTTTTTCGAAAGATCATTAGACATAGGCAGCTTTCCCCCTTCACATTACTTCCGTCTCGTTTATTATCCTTCCCCGTCTATCCCGAATCCCTTGCAAGACCGCAATACCACATCGTCCTGGACCACCCATCACGGACCATGCTATCTTAACAAAACAATCAAACGGGTCTCACATTGGCTTGACTTGTCATCGTCTGGAGAAATCGAAGTGGAAGGGAAACGAAGGAGTACTCTCGACCCAAACGAGCATCGCATGATTCGCATACCTGTCTCACCTTTGCAAATTCAACCAACCTACGTGCCGTACCCTATATACCTAAGCTTTGATTTCTGCATCACGGAACAAATTGCGACCCTGTCCTCTCAAGTGGTTCTCGCCTAGGCCTGTTCATCTATAACCCATCCATTATTACTTCGTACAGTAGTTCGACCTAGCCATCTGCAAGCAGGACGAAGATAACTGGAAGCAAGGCAGGCAAGCAAGCAAGCAAGCACGCTTCCTTTTCTCAACCTTGCACAAAGAGGTAGAAGAGATCGAATAAACAATGCATACCTACCAGCAGCCAACTTGACAAGTTACAGTTTGTTACCCGTTTCAAACTGCAAATCCCAATTCTGGGGGTGGTGGCACTTCTTTTCCGGATCTTGGTCTCTTCCTCCTTGACTGATTCGTTAATAAATACATAGTTTTTATCATTAAAACCCTATTTCTATAAGAACTATTATAAAAATCGATTTTTTGAAAAAAGAAAAAGAAATTCCATAAGATTTGTATATTTATGTATTTATATATTATAAATCATACATTGAATTTTTTTTAGACACGTATATTAATAAATAAAAAAGGTTATCATTATATATAAATGAGGTAGCCTATATAATGACATGACTCACATGCTCATGAACCATGTTACATTTTATCTATCTTTTCTGATCTCTGTGTTCACTCCTCTAGTATATACATATAGACAGACAGACATACATATACATGTAAACACACACTCGTACATGTACAACAACAAACGAAACATCTTTTCCATCTATTTCCCCAACTTTTTTTGCATTGTGTTACGTTACTACGTTATACCATAAAGAGGGGAAGAAAAGGTTTCCAGGTTTATATATCCATCATATAATTTCTGCCAGTTTACTTTTCTTTTTTTCTCCCATACAATACTCAGTCAGCATCGTCCGTTCACGACGACTGGAGTCCTTTTGAGGGATCGAAAGCGAAAACGCTTACCAAGAGGATAATATTGTCATTAACTATATCAATCACTACATATCCCTTTTATATACCTACCTACATACATACCTACATACATACTTACATACTACCTACATACATACACATATACATACGGGAGTATACAGGTATCCGTCCACACGGAAATCTCTCCTCTCATACCAAGACTCCACTCAGTTACCTTTGGGTTATTTGGAACGAAACGGAATTGAATCTCAATTCGAAGATTATACAAGTAAGGGCCCCTTGTTCAGATTTCCATTTGTGCACGTCCATCTCCCGTATCTTCACACCCACATCCAGATCCATACCTATCCATATCCATACCCATATCCATCCTGTCCACATCCACATCCGCATCCTCATCCTCATCCACACCCACACCCACACCCACACTCACACTCACACTCACACTCACACTCACACCCACACCCACTACCCCTTCACCATCTTAACATCCTGACATCAACATCCCTCCTCTCGTTGCTATTTACCCTTTACCCTTTATCCTCATCTACCCTTTCTCCCCTACCCTCCCCCCCCCCTACCCTCCTCCCCTGCCCTCCCCTACCCTCCTCTCACATCCTTCCTCCTTCCCTTCCTCTTCCCACACCCCCTTCACCCAATCATCGTCCGCAAGTGTTCCACCTTCCCTTCATAATCATCTTAGTTTATTTGGTCGCAATTCAAAATAACCCCCGTCGCTCATTATTAATTATCCTTGATAATAGACCCGCTAAATCGAATCTTTACTCTTTACCTCGAAACTCGAACATTATTCCTATTTAATCGGCAGAGAAGAGAGTGGATGGACGTTTGGTGCATTGGCGTTGCCAGTAATATACTATCGTGAACCTCCTCGCTCTTTCTAATACTCGATAATATTTTTGATTTCCCATCCAAAGTCAAAGCTTCTCTTATACCTTACCTTGCCTTGCCTTGCCTTGCCTTGCCTTCCCTTCATCATCACCACGACAGCCATCACGACCACGGCCAACATCCTCATTCACCTCGCTCATCCATACATATTTATACCTCCCGGCCTGTCCATACGTATATTTTTGATCAAAGAGTACTTGTTTACACTTTCATACCTTCATACTTCTACCCACACCATCCCCAGCAGAAGAACAAACCAGAAACCTATATTTATCATACCTATTTTTATTTTTTTACCACATAAATGCTTCTGGACTTGTCTATTCTTTGATTTTCATCCATTCCAGCATCGTCGAATGTCACTTTGGTTTTAGATTTGTCTTTGATATACGAGCGGTTTCCTTGGATACTTTGATGAATGCCAAAAATAAATTGACATTCATCACTTTCTTTGGTCGGAGCTTCATCGGTAGGAAAGGTGGATATGGACATGCAACTTACACCTGTGTCATCAGAGGAGGCGATCTTCGAATGGTCAGATAATTCAACTAGCCCAGATCGAGACGACGTCGAGGAAATTATACGACAAACACAAGGCGTGCGATATAGTCCCAGGCAACCAAGAGTTATACGTGCACCAACCCGTCGACGAGTACGAATTGACGAATCGTGTGCCGATTATTCAATCAATTTTCAACATTACAAATTTGGGAGAATTGAAATGAGAGCCGGAAGTATGGAGGGTTCAGATGGGTCGAATTCTTCCGCAATTACCGTCATTACTTCGGCAGGTTCATCCTGTGGTGACCCTTGGAGTTCAGGAGGATTTGTCGAGGAAGAAGTAGATGATGGCCACGAACATGATGGATCAGTCGAGGGTAGTTGGGACGGAGAACACACACATGAACATGATCACGACCAAGACGTTGATATGTTGTTGGAACCGAAATTAGAACCTTTGGAGGAAGATTCGATCCTTGAATCGGTCGCTCCCCGCACATCTTCGTCGCTACCCTCGCCTACACAGCCGAAACGACCTAGAGGCCGCCCGCGTAAAAATCCTGTACAAACTATCGAACCGTCGCACAAGGTTACAAAGGGAAGATCAAAGACAGGTTGTGTCACATGCAGGAGACGAAAGAAGAAGTGTGACGAAGCAAAACCTAGGTGTACGTCTTGAATTACGCGCATGGTACCATGATTTCTCCTTCGAAAATAACACTAATCATTTTCTATTTTATAGGTCAGAATTGCGAAAAGAATGCCGTCGTCTGTGAAGGATACCCAGAAAGACAAGTGTGGAAGAGTGGGAAGGAAAAGGCTGAAGAAGGTACGACCTTGTGGAAATGTCAGCAGTCCAAAACGGAAGTACTGATTAAATCGACAGCCCGTCTGCGAAGAATTAGCTTACCCAATATCACACTTCAGCCTGTCATTCATGGAGTGGAAACATCTGGCGACAAAGTCTTTTTCGAACACTACATTTACAGATTGAGTCATATTTTCACAGTCGAGGGTGCAGACAAGAATGCTTTCAAGGATCAATTACTACCGATGGCTGTACAACATGCTGGTCTCATGCACTCAATTCTTGCACTTTCGAGTAAACATATTGATTACGACTCGGAATATGGACAAAAATTACTCCAACAACACCCAGATATCAACAAGGAATCTCTAGAAGAAAGATCTCAATATCATCATTCGGAAGCCATAAAGGAGATTTTGAGCATTGACGTAAATACTCAGATCAGAGATGAAACCGACACCGCAGTTGTCTCCGCATGCCTTGGCCAAATGTTATGTCTCGTTCTTCAAACCCTCGCAGACCCAAATCCGAGCGGGCAACACCGCCTTCATCTCAACACCTATCAAAATATGATCAAATCAGCTCCACTCAAAGAAGGACCTTTCTCGAATTTCATCGAGGAATTCTTCCAATTTCATATCATTCTCGACGAGATAATCTCTCTACCGAACACGATGCCAGAACGTAGCCGCTTGGGCACTGTATCTGATGATTGGAATCTTCCATCCAACATCATTGAACCTGATGCCGTGCGTCTCTTAGGTGTCAATGATGGTCTTTTCCTCTACATGTCTAAAATAACGAACATTCGCAATACTATTCGTGAAAATATGCAGAATCACATCGACCCTGTGGTGAACTACAATGCCCTTTATAGAGCCGCCGAAATCGATGCAGGAATTCGGGATTGGACCCCCGCGTGGCCAGCTGGAGACTCTAGAGATCTCGCGGGTTTACTTTACAAACAAATGATGTGGGTTTATTTATGGAGAACTATTTACCCTCCCAAAACAACATTTTGGAAGCCTGATCCTAGAATTACACAAGCCGTTGACGATGGAATTGCTTTACTTGAGCAAGTACCGCCTCGTGATCCAGCTCAAACTCTCGTTCTGGCCCCAGCTTTTATCATCGGTTGTGCTGCTTTTGAAGAAAGACAACGAGAACCTATCAGGAAAGCCATTAGTGTAGTGAAAGCCTATATGGAATTCCGAAATTCAGACGCTGCCTTGAAGGTGCTTGAAGAAGTTTGGAGATTAATGGATGCTCAAGATGAGAGAAGTTGGGATTGGCAAAGTTTGGCTCATGAAATGGGCATGGATTTTTTGGCTACTTGAATTTTCATCATCATCACGCTCCTCGCCCTAATCATAAGAATATGATCAATTACTCATCTTCATCAAACCGAGTCCAAATTGGTTCACCGCAACATCACAACGGAGATATCTCCGCTCCGGGTTCTATGAAGTCTAGAATCCACATGTTGTACGACGGTGGTACTGACCAAGACATGGATCTCGCATCGCAACCAGGATTATCCAACAGCTTACATTCCACAAAGGAGGCTCGGCATGGACCAAAAATATGCCGGTGCGGACCGAAATTATTCGGGTCGATAATTACTTACCGCCTCACGTCCCATGATTTTTGTACCTGACGTCAAGGCTTTGCTTTGTCGATCTTTTACATCATGAGTGTTCATCCAGTGATTTTGTGACGCGCGTCATGAATTTCTGCGAGTTTATCCACACGAGGCACAACTTCGGAATGGGGATTGGGTTGCGTTACACTATCTTGTGTGTGATTACAAATGTCACCTTTGTGCCTAGGTATCCACACACACCCTGATCTACATCGGCTACTTACAATTCGGGATACCACGTCGGTGATCTCGACACTTTCTATTCGCGAACATTATCTTCGGTTTCTGGTTTCTTATTGGCCTATCTTACATGCGTTTGATATTGGCACATTATGTCTTTTGGAGTTTTATCGCATCGCATGGTAGTGCATCGCATCGCATTATAGGCTTATCCCTTTTCAATCGATATTCTTATGTCGATCTTGTGGGCGGTCGGAATTTTGGCATTTTTTTTAGGTCTAGGGATGTAGAGTTGAGGAAAATCATCTTCACTCGAACTGGTGAAAATTTGGGGTGGCTTTTATCTTAATTTTTTTCTCTGTCGTCTCTCATGGGGAAAAATATTCTCCGGTCTGGTGGAATGTTGGGATGAAGGATACGGAAGGAATGGTATGGAATGGATTGGGTGGGATAAGGATGGAATGGAATTGGACCGATTCTGGTGGGTGGATGGATGGAAGAAATTTCCATGGATGGAACAATGCGGATGGATGCATTTTGGATCTATGGATTGGATTGGATCGGATTGGATTATGGAATGGATTTTTGGAATTGGTTGGCAAGTGATTTTATGGAATTCTTGGAATTTGAAATTTGATGTTTGATCTTGGTCTTGGGTGTCTTGATGTCATGATGCTGTGTAGAGGTGGTGGGGGGAGGAGTGTGTGTGTGGATATGAAATGGAGTCGAGTGGATGAGTGGAGGTAGGGAAGTGGATTGACTAGCTATGGATATTGATATGGATATAGATGCAAATACAAATATGTATAAACAAATACAATTGCAATCACACCTATAAAGCATGAATGTAATTATGTGATATCCATTAACGAGGGGATTTATATATAACTTTGTGTGACATGATGTCTGTATGTACATCATGTGTTTAGAGTTTCCCCTGTGCATGACTCGTTAGACTGCGGATCCCTTCTTCTTGGAGGGGAGGAAGTTGGAAGCGGATGGTTTGGGAGTGGGTATAATTGGTATCTTGGGAAGGAATAGCGAAGAGAGTAAGGATCAAAAGAGGCGAGGGGGGAGAAGAGGATTGTTAGGTTCTCGGTAAATTTGTGGATGGGGATGGGTTTTGTATGTTGTGTTATGTCGTGCTGTGGTGTGGTGTGGTGTGGTGTGGTGTGGTGTACTATGTCGTGTGTGGTGTACATGTTGTACAGAAATGTAAAGGTAAAGGTAGAGAGGTAGCCGGGTTGAGGGGATGAGATTGGATGGGGGGCTCGGGGGGTTAGTTGGATGGAGAGATGAAAGATGATGGTTGGTGAGGATTGACAACTACGTATTTGTATATAGGATATCAGAGCATACAGAATGGAATGATGGGATGGGATGGGACAGTAATAGTTGGAGAACGGGATTTTTTTAACAAGGGGGTATGTATATGTATGTGTCTGTGTGTTTTGTATAATGTGTGTGTGTTAGGGTATTAAGGATTTTTGGACTCGAATATCCTTGAAGGTTTGTGGAAATTTTATCGTTTTTTGACTGGCTTGCTTGCTTGCTTGCTTGTATTAATAGGTATGATTAGATGTATAATATATTTTATTAATTAATAGAATTGGAAATATGTAAATAAATATAAATATAAATGTATATATGTTAAGAGGAAAGTAAGTTTATACTTTAAGTTGAAAATTAGATGTTTAGATGTTGAAAGTTGGAAATGAAAAAAGAGAATTATATTTTAGTAATGAATTTATCTATCTTATCTTATCGATAATTTAATATAAAATTTGAGAGATGAGGTGAGAGTATGAGAATGTGAGATCTACTCGATAAAATTAAACTAAAATCGAATATAACTTCTATAAATATTATTATAATTGAATAAAATTTCATAAGAGGATTATGATATATATTCTCTATATATATACTAGATTTTATAAAATATGAATAAAGAAAAATGAAAATAATATATTAAAGTTAATGAGTTGATACAATAAGTATAATTTAATAGTATATTTTAGATTCCATATATCTCTATTAGCTTTCGATATTTTATCTTTATAGTTTAAGTTTCAATTTAGAATTAGATAATCTTTCATAGGAAAAGAGTTTTTTTTTTTTAATTCCCTAAAATAGAAAAGTTATTCAAGATTGAAATCGAAAGAGTGAAATAAATCTTTTAATTTTTATACTGAAGATTATTAAAAAAACTTAGATTTACTTCTTTAAAAATAATAATTCTAATCTTTCTTTTTCAAATATAAATAACTTTTCTAATTATGAATCAGTCCTTACAAAAATTTATGTATTTGAAAGCGAAGCTTTTATTTTATAATATATTCAAATTTTAATATTACAAATTCTAAATTCATTAAATTATCAAAGATCGAAAATGTATTCAAAAAATAAGTACTTTTTAAATCAATTTAATAATTTCCATTGCTTTTATTATAATCATTTCAATTTCGATTCTTTAGAAACTTTAATATAATATCTTTATCATATTAATAGATTATATCTATTAATTTTAGCTTATTTTATTGAAAATTTATTAAGATTATAAGTATTTTCAATTTGTACTATACATCTTTAATTATTTCGCCGAGTAGTAAAGAAGTTGTTAAATTTTGTTAAATTAAATCTATAGGGTTAATTATATAGGGATATAGGGATATACTCATAGAGAAATAGAAAGAAGGAAAGAATGCCGAGCGAGCGAGCGAATGAATAAATGAATGAATGAATAATCACGAGTGGATAATTCTCCACCCTAATGATGGATTGATGGATAGGTGGATAGGTGGATTGCATTTTGCGGGGTGGGAGGGTATGATGGTAGGAGGGTAGGAGTTTATATCGGGGTTTGTGAGGTGTGAGGTACTAGGTAGTTGATAATTATGGAGGCAAGATCTCCAGTCTAGAAGATATGTAGAAGAAGAATGGAGGGATGGATGACGAATAGATGAGCGGATAGATAGGCACATTCTGATACACTGCGCTGCGCTGCGGTAATGAGAAATGGGTATTACTATAAGTCTATGACGAGTCTTGCTTGAGATTTATAATCTTACCAGTATAGTTCTCTGGACTCTGGACTCTGGACTCTGGTACGATGGGTATGGGGTTGTGATAATGTGATATTGTGGTACTGTGCTGGGTTGTGCCAATCTGAGGCGGTATTATGGGGGTCGAGATGGATATTAGAATGGAGAGGGAGAATGAGGTGGACATGTATATGAACATGTAAATGGGATGGACACAGACAGAGTAGGCGATAAGAAACTATTAAATGGATTGGTACAGGACGAGCAGGGGCACGAAAGAAAAGAAAGGAACTAGGTAGTAGGTAGTAGGAATCCAGATATCATATCCGGATATCGAGACTTTTGCGTCACGAACCACACACATCGTGCACACACAAAGTGATCTTCTCTACTCTCGATATATCACATGCGACTTCTTTGCACTTTTCTGCATCGAAATCGAAATCGAAATTAAAACGAGGATACGAGTTACGAGCACGCATGAATAGCATCATGTCACGACTCGCGAAGAGAATAATCCCGCCAATTCTCCTTTTCTTTTCTTTCGCCTGCCTCACACACACACTTACAATATCAAGTACCCCCAAGCAAGCATATCAAGCAAGTACATCAAGCACACCAAGCAAAGCCGAAAAATCAAGTACATGATAATAACCCCTTCCCCGCTCGGAGAATCTATCTACCATATTGAGCGCTCATAACCGAGTAATATATCCGTAGGATTTGTGTGGTATATGGTATATGGTATATTGATATTTAATTGGTAGATGTATATAGTACCTGTTTGAGAGCTGGTTGATTAATTGGTCCTGGCGGAAGGGTACGGTAGGAAAATTCACGGAGCGGACCGCAATTATGTATTTGATTGGATTATGTATGCAAGCAGCAAGCACGTTGGGTAGGTAACTAAGTAAGTACAAAACAAATCACATTCAACAACCACAAACAGACGAAGCATTTGAGTCGTGAGTGAAACACAGATCTACAGACAAGACTTCGCGATCCGCACGTGCAGTGCAGTATTAGGGAGACATACTTGGGAAGTTCGGAATGTATTTGATATCTGACCAATGAATGGATGAATGAATGAATGCAGAAAACGGATATCTGCTTCTTTCATTTCTTCCTATGCGAGTTGATGTCTTGTACGATGTCTCAATTTTCGATTCTCCTACTCGGATTCATGTTGTTATATTCGCTAGGTATGGATATGAATATGAATATGAATATGAATGAAACAAACACACAAGTACAGATCTCACCGCCCCGCACGGGAGTAACCTAAATCTAAATCTAAAGTTAAGTTACCAGTTACCTACCTACGAGCCTACCTACCAATGTACTTACAGCCTCTCAATCGAGTTCGTCCTCTCCATCCATGCCACGAATCCGGATGTGATACCCAGATGAATCTTCCACAATGTTGTGCATATTTAAGGTGTTCTCTTTCATTAAGTTTATTAGCTGCGACGGGGAAATACAAGAACGTTCCGAGTCGATATTTTCATGGTATGGTATGCATGTAAAGTAACGGTACATGACACATCGCTCACTGGTAAATATGATAGTTCTCGTAGGTGTATATTCCCCTGTTGAGAAGGAGCAGAAGGCGATGGGTTTGGGGAGTCGAAGGGCATGGGACGTACATGCTATGCATGGGAGTGGTCGCGAATCGGAAGGTCGTTTGCACGCGGGACTATTTATGTTCATTGCTAGTGATATCGATTATTCCCATGAGTGAGGCTAGCCATCCGCCTCGAACTTCATGTTTGGGGGAGTAGCGGATTGAATGGGATTGTATTGAGAGATGAGAGAATGTTGAGGTATTTTGTCCCATTTTGTATTCGTACATCGTGAGCAACTGCAGTTTCTGATAACCCAGTTTGAAGCACTGTAAAAACAACAAATGCATGCTTGAATTTCTCTGAAGGTACACATATTGTAAACAAATGCAAGCCAGAGGCGAAGGTATCTGCAGTTGAATCCAGATGCAACCAATTCAAGGAACCTCACATGGTTCACCCGAAGTGGTTGTAAGGGAAAAGTACTTTAGTACGTACAGAGTATATAATGCGACAAGAGGTAAGAATAACCATCAGCCTGTATGAAGGATCGGCCCGTTGAGGGCTCACCTTTCGATGATCAGTAACCTCCTTTCGGTAAGCACAATCAAATCGTGTCACTCCGTATTTGAACTGCCGAAGCTTGGTTTGAGAGAATGAGGAACGAATGATTTTTTTCTGAACGTTTACCATATCATCTGAGGTCGTACGAGATGTGGAGTATCGAGTGACTTTTAGAAGTTGTGGCATTAAAGATTTCTAGCGAACAAGGTAAACAGGGACTTAGATTAGTCCTGCATGATATAGTGTTACTTCAACAGGTGCAGAATCAATCACATTGCGAATGGAGAAATTGCTTGTTTAGTGAGAACTCCCGAAATGCAAATATAATGAATAACCCTTCACAGGTTAATTGGTGAATGCAGTATTTAATGTATCAACTCCCACGTTCATAAATCTTATCTGCAGCTGAGGTTCTTGAGCCGAAATTACGGTAAAAAAAACTTAGAAGATTGAAAAACTCAATGTAAATATCTACGAACAACTGCAATATAATAGCAAGAGGTCTTGACAGAAATGATATGTTGCATCGTTTTCAACGACCGTATTGCGTAATTAGGCGATATTTGAGTTCAATGGCACACAAGCTTTCGAGAACAGTGGAACGTTGAAGCTATTCAGAGACAAATGAGGTCATGTTTGAATGATTATGATGATATCTCAAACTCTAATTGATGTTTCAGGAAAGACTAAAATTTCCTATTGGTGTTGTCAAATCAATCCACTCTTCTCTAACGGCTTCTCTGCGGTTGAGCCCAAATTTGAGCCATGAACATGCTCATCCTTATGAGATCCACCTTGTGGGTCACGACGGTGCCATTTCGAGTAGTATTGTATGACTTCAACAACACCCAATCGAGCAATGAGTGTTAGAATTCGGCTGGATGCACTTCGGGAATTGCCTAAAGTAAAGACGAGAGATTTGCACTGACAGGGACTCAAGTCTCCGATTTCATTGACGTGTTTCCGGATCGTAAATGAATCTTCGGAGTATACTCGTCTCCAACGAATGCCCACCTGGAAGCCACCTCTGAAATAAAATTGTACCTGTCAGATCTTCCAGGGTGATCTCCTTCGGGATGTTGTAGCCGATGTACAATTGAGGCACAACAAAGCATGTCACAGGACTTGTGTACTTCCGCTTCAACTTCTCGTTGGCACTTCTGCATTCGGATACTATTTCCATGATTGTAACTCGGGCTTGCGTTTGACTAGCCAAGGGTGCAAATCCATAAAAACCACTTGCATAACCCGCATCTCACCGTTTGCTCCCTGGCGAAGGATGATTTACCAGGCTTTCATTCCTTTGGACCAGTGTATCGGTAGCACCATTTCGATTTCGGAAAGCCGATCGTCAGCTGAACCTACCATTGTTTCATGGGTGTTTATTGAAAGAAGGAGCATGGTTTCTCGCTTTGTACAGAGTACGGCGATGATACGAGGATACAAATATCCGACAATATGCCAGCCGTTCTAATGACTTGCTGAAAGCGGAAGTTTCCGGTATGTGAAGTGTGTGATGATGTTATGTGTAACCTTTGTATTAATGGCATATGTTGTGTATCTTGAGGATATACATTGCATTGTTGAGGATGGTGACGGAGGCTGAATGAAATGTTGTTGAGATGTAAAAGTTGAGTAGAGGTGGCGTGGGTAGTGGCTTTAGTGCGTGAGTAGACACTAAAGTTTTAGCGGCCGATAGCCTATTTATTTCCTAACGCTTAGTGATTGACTCTCAAGAAAATGATCATCGCCATCAATACATGTTGCAATTTACCCATCTAGACTTCTACACTTGAAGTCTATCAAGTCTATGAAGCACTAGAAGTCTTTGCGGAAGTATAATCGCAAGTTTAGGTGAATTTACTATCATCAAATATCTTGATGACTGTCAAAAACATCCTTACCTATGTTCAATCAATTTCTATTTCCAATCTAATCGATGACAATAGCCATACTCATGTATGATTTCACACTTGCTTTCTCATCATGTGTCTAATCTTACCACGCCGAGACCTCGGCGAAGGAAGTTTCCTCTACCCAAACAAAAGAATGAATGGTTGACGCTGACGCTGACGCTGACGCTGACGATGTTCTGTCACCTCAATCTTCAAATATGATATCTTGATTGCAAATCACGACTCCATTCAATCATTCACACACCAAGTCACGCCTCTTCATATGCAAGCACGCCTAAGCACCCCGCTCTCCTCACATGTTTGCGTACCACGATGACCAGTTTCTTATCGTCAATTGAGGGGCAATTTCCTTCCAACTGCCTTATAGACGTGATGACGATACTCGGTATACCAATTCCGATTCCACAACATCTTTTCATCGGAAAACATATTGAAATCTGATACTATTTGTCTTTTGTATCACCCGTTGAGACAATAACCCGGGGTTATACCATCACCGAATAAATAAACATGTCGAAAATATTCGTGTACGTTTTGTTGAGTCGGGTCTTTCTCACATTTTATCTGGAATTTGTTAAGCGAATTGGATCTTGATTATGTCGAGTCAGTTTGCTAATTCCTTCGCTGTAGTGTCGGAGCAACAGGTCATATTGGTGGTGCTGTGTTAGATCTCATCTACCCGAAGTATCCAGATGTCCATATCAAAGCGTTGGTACGAGATGAGAAGAAAGGCAAAATACTTGTGGGTAAGTACCCGCGAGTAACTTTTGTTGTTGGGGATCTGACATCTTTGGATCTTTTGACTAGAGAGGCGAAAGAAGCGGATGTTGTTGTTAGTGAGTGACCGTGTACTTTGTCTACCGCCGCATTTGTTGGAGTGAAACTTCCCCTCCTATTGTCGCTTGTTGCGAGAGAATCCACCGGTACTAATATCGCCACCCTTATTGCATCGGGTGAAGAATTGCAATGATATCTAGCGATGTTGTAAATGAGAAACGTTGGTCTCGGTATTGAGAGTTGGGATAAAAGTTGGCCTTTGGACTTAGTCAATCCCTGATGGTCTAATTTGAATACCCTTTCCAAATTTTCATCCAAGTTTACATCTCCGATCCAACATCACCTAGCATAGTTCACTGAACTCTGTTACAGATACAGGACCCGACGTCAAGCAAGATACAGCTATCTCAGCTATCCTCGAAGGCTTAGCCAACCACTCCCCAAAAGCATACTATATCCATACTGCCGGGAGATCACTCCTCTGGAATTCACCCGGTAGCTCCCAAGCCGAACCAAAGATCTTCGACGACGTCGTGGATATCCAAGCTTTAAAATCTTTCCCACCCACCACACTCCACGCTACTTCTAACGCCGTAAGCTCCTTCTTTTCCCTCCTTCCCCCACAATACTAACAACCACCAGCTCGTATTCGCCGCCTCCCCATCCACAAACATAGCCATCATCTCCCCCACTGTGGTCCACGGTCTCTCCCTCTCTCCCCTCCATCCCACCCCTCCTCTCCGCAATCACAACCACCCAATCCGGCTTCACCATCTCTCCACCACAACCCTCCAATCCCACATCCACGTCCTCGACCTCGCTCAAATCTACCTCTTCCTCCTCTCCTCCGCACTCACCGACCCCTCTCCTAACCCCCAAAAATGGGGTCCCGAAGCATTCTACTTCGCCGCCTCAGAAAATCTCTCTTTCAGCGCATACATGCAATTTCTCATCTCGAAGGTGTCGAAACCACCTTATAATCTACTGCACAATACACTGATCGCGGAACTCCCATTCTCGGAAGCGGTGAAAGTGGTAGGGACACTGACGGCGTATTTATTTGGCATTCATATGCAAGTGAGATGCACGAGGGCGAAAGAGGTATTGGGATGGGTACCGAGGGCGAAGAGATTGGGGGAGGGATTGGATGAGGTGCTGGAGGTTTATAATAGGGAGAGGGATAGTGGGGTGGGAATGCAGGAATTGGATACGACGTATGGGTTGTGATGATTTGTTTAGATTTGTGGATGAAGATAAATTGATCTTGATAGTAGATTCTGTGGTTCTGCGGGGAGGTTATGGAATTAGAATTGTTGAACTTCAGCATTAGATGCCAGGTTATATAGATGTCAAATTAGAAGGGATATCCCTCATTCTTGGCATGAAAACTTTCAAAATTCCTATCAAACCATTGATCAATAAACTTGATCACATAAGAAGACCCCTTAACCAACAACTTCACGTCGAGCTATGGGAGTCGTGATCAGATATAGAGTAACCTCCTATTCACTCTGGATACTTAAAGGTATCGGAAACCCTACAGCTCCTTTTCCGAGTACATGCACCAGGTATTTACACTCAACTCACAGTCTCACACGTATATTCCATACCATTTCATCTCTCTCGACCTTCGCAATCGGACGCGTCGACTGTCTCATCATTATCCTATTCCCCCCAGCTCCCCCACAGTCGAGTTTCATTTCATCATCACGACACTCCATCCCAGATTCCCGACATCCCCGCCCTCGAAACCTTCTCATCATCCACTCCAATATACTACCATCCGATATCAATTCCAATTTCATTAATCTAACACACTAGGTAAAGTACACTAATCCACACACCATCCTCCTCTCATATCTCATCTCTCATCTCCAACCATCCTTTCCTCCATCATACTATCTCCTTCCCGCAACAATCATAACTGTCACCTGATTCCTATAAACCCCAATGCTAAAATCTAGTACATACACACTAATAAACACGATTCCCAATCCCGATATCTAGAAATATCTCACAGAGAATTCTGATTCCCAGTTCCGTTCCTGATCCTAGTTTCTAATCCTTCATGCCTAGCTAATTTTCCATTCCATTCCATCGATACCAATTCTATCCCATTTCATTCCATCCCATTCCATTCCGTCCCATTCCATCCAATCCCATCAATACCGATCATATTTCTCCGTACTAATCATAACATGCTTTTTCCTCTCCCCCTTCTTCACTCCCTCCCCCTTCTCTCCCTTCTTCCCAGTCCTCACTCTCCTAGCCCTCGGTTCCTCAAACCACCCTTCCTTCCTCCAATCAATCTTCTCAAATATCCTCTCCACCCCGCTTTCCTGATCCCTCTTCCCCCTCACACCTCTCACATCCCTCGCCACAAAAGCCTCAAAGACCCTTCTCCTCGTATCTCTCCCTCCATTCTTAACCCCCACCCTCACGTTCGCATCCCTCAAAAATGGCGCTCCGGACACCATCCCCAATCTCTCTTTCTCCGCCCTCGCGCCTTCCAGTAACCAAGACCTCATCCATTCTTTCCTCCTGTAAACTTCCGGGCTTTCTCGCACAAATGGTTTATATCTATCTAACCATTTGATTCCCTCCGCATACAGTATTCCTTGACCATCTTCTAGTACCATCTGCTTTTGATATCGTTGCAGTGTATGCGCTTTAAGTCTGAAGTGTTTTCGAAGAAGTTGTTCGCGGCGACGATAGCTAACTAATTTGTGTTTATGAGACAAAGAGGACTTTTTGGGGCGAGAGCGTTTGCTGAAGATGCGGGAGGGATTAATACTGTTAAACAGGGTGGCTAAAGCTATTTCAAGAGGAGAATTGTCAGTATGCACTTTTTGAGCCCAATGAATCAAGAAAAAGAGGAACTACTTACTACCAGTTCTATGTTGCCTACCGATCGTTCCATCTTTCGCCTTATCGGGGGCAGATATCTCCTTCCCTTCCTTCTTAGAAAGTATGGAAACAGGTGCTTTAGGTGATTGAACCTGCAGATCGTGCAAATTAGGAGTCGTGGCACTCTTCCCTACAAATATCGCACTAATATTCGCTCCCGCGTTCATAAAAAGCTTGCCAAGCTTTCCAGAGCTTGGTGTCATCAGAGGCTGTAGACTCTGTTCCTCATCATCCGCAAACGATGTCGTCTTTGAAAGTTTCGGTGTTGTTTTCCTGAGTTGCAGGGGATTTGACTCATTAGAATCATTAGACGAAACCGTGTCAATAGGAGAGACTCGTTGTTTCATCAATTGATGAGATGGGTTTTGAGCCTTTGCATGTTCGAGCTTGAGACGATATTCACGTTCTAATGCAATATCGAGATCAGTTTCCCAGCCGCTAAAACTCATTTGCTTTTTGAGGGGTGGAGGAATGAATCCGTATACTTTGTTTGCGGGAGAGATAGGACTTTGGTTTGATATTGCGGAAGATTTTCTAGCTGTGTTGATTCGGACCACCGGTTTCGATCCTATGGAAGACTCTTTTATGGTTGGGGTTTTGACCGCTTCAGCAGGAGAGTGGAATGATTGAAAGTCGCCGTCCTGATTTATTGGAAGTTTATTAGGCGGGGCGGGAAATCTGTATGGCTCTCTGCAAGCAATGGCTGTATGGGTCGAATATGCCGTGCAGTTTTGCTGTGAACCGTCGAATATGCCTCCCATATCTTGAGCCTTAGATGTTGGAGTCGATTGTAAAGATTTATCTTTCTCCTTTCCGCCATCTCTGCGAGGAAATAGACCCATACTCTTTTGCTTCTTCAGTACTGCTCTTTCTGGAAGATCTGCGGTATTATTTGATGGCTCGCTTCCTCTACGAGGAAACAACCCTAGACTCTTCTGCTTTTTCAGTATCAGCTTGGGCAATGGCGGTGGTGGAAATTCCACACAAAAACCTGTTGGAGCAATAGAGGAACAATGAGAAAAAGCAGTAGTTGAATGTGCATTCGGTATCGAGATGCCAAGTGCATTATCACCGCTCTTGATATCAGTAGATTTAGAACTTTCAGATGATTTCCTTGGGGTCTTGGAACGTTCAGATGATTTTCTAAGAGTTTTCGGAGTTATGTTTTCATGGCATATTTCGGTGTCCTCAAATCTGACAGACTTTAAACTCTCAATGGATTTCCTACAGATTATCGTCGCCATACTACTCTTCTTCCTTAATCTCGGTTGAAAGACTGCAGAAGGTTCGTATGGACTAGCCAAGAATGAAAGATCGGCACTTGCAGATATTTGTGGTAGAGTAGTGTCTCCAACAACCGCATCTATCACATTTTCCCTCGTAACGAAAGTCATGTTCTTGGTCGCAAGATCTGCCATGGCTTCGCATTGAAGATCATTATTAGGCTTCAACTTCATGAGTTTCTTTGGGTTTTGTCGGGTTTCCGTGCACGAAGATAGTGCATCAGGATTCAAAGGTGAGGGTACAGGCGATCTTGAACCAGACAGTGATGTATTTTGTGTTTGGACTTCAACTGAAGAATTATGCAAAGCAGTTCTACGAAGTTGAGTTCCAGGAGTTGGTGTAATAGGACTTTCTTGCCTCATTGATAGAGGCGACTTGGGGATAGATGGGAGTGGACCTAGGGTTTGAATCTCCACATTGGCAGCATCATGTAACGACGTTTTACGAAGCTTGATTCTAGGCGTCGTGATTGCTGAAGTTGCTTGAGGTAGAGGAAACGCATGCTCGCGGTTGGCAGGGTGTGAGTCTAACTCTAAATCGGTAGTAACATCGCGCAGTGGTGTTTTACGCAGTTGAAGTCTTCGAGAAGCGCCTATGACTGCGGTTACATGTTGCGAGATCAGTGGAGAAATGGCCATTGAAGACGCGCCACTCAAGGCCCGGCTCCTAAGGCCACCGGAAGTGCCACACGAGTCCTGTCTATGGAGTAGAGGCTTTTGGGTGCTTTCTGGAGTAATAGCCTTCGGAGCAGAAGGATATCCGGGCAACTCTCGTAAATCCAAGGCTTGATAAGCTTTGATAGGATCCGAATTACCTTTCAAGACATGCTCAACTTGCTTCATTGGATCGAGTCTAGTCGAAGAGCCGTGTTGCGAAACGTGTGTTGAAGAGCCGGCGCGCAAAGTTTCATATGAAGTCGCACCGCTATCTTTGTACATTCTGCGAGATTTTACTTTTGTGTAAGCAACACTCGAAGTCCTTGCTCGTGAGGATAAACTTGGAACTCCATTTGGAAAAGACGCTCTTCTTTCCATTGCGGCTTCTGGCCGGCACAAGACGCGCAGAAGTTTCTCATCTTCAGATAGCTTTTGTGGACGAAGCTGAAACTTTGGTTTAGGAGGACCTCTTGACCACGGATCAGGAAATGATGCCAGACGGAACGGCGACATTTTTTGTTGATCTTTCAATGGGACCCAAGATTGGAAACTACTATGATGTGCCGCTTCGGAGTATTGTTCTATGAATGGTGTGTTTAATCGAAGCCTCCGTTGCTGGTTGTGCACCGATTCTCTCCCATCCCCATTTGATGACCTTGAGCTTGAGAAACTTTGCGTATCCGGAATTTTAGGTGTTTTGACTATATACCGAGGCGTTCTTGGCGCATTCATTGGTATGGTGTGATATTCTTGACGGTATTCGTGTTGACGTTTTGGAGATGCCAACCGTTTTCGGCTGTGTACTTTTGCCTCAGCCCTGTCAGATGTTTGAGGCTCACTTCTTGAGTTTGAGGTGGCTGGGTATGATGTTTCTTCCTTGCTGTTTCTTTTCTCCGTTATACTCTGTGAATGAAGCCGGGGGAATGGCTTTTCTGAATCGAAAGCAGCATTCTCTGCCGTGACTGATTTTTCTATTTGGTCGCTTTGGCGTTCAATGCGAGCTGATGTAGATGAGGATGCGATCGTGCTTCTAGAGCGTGCAGATCTAATACTGTATGCTATTGCAGCGCTTCTCTTGAAGAACATAATGTCATGTATAGCGTTAGATTGCTCGATCATCTTACTGGCTAGCTCAATGTAATCTCTTAAGTTCTCTCGAGTATCAACCCAATTATGCTTGCATGCAGGGTTCTTTAAAAGGGTTTGAAATTCATTCAAAGCTTCGATACCTTCGTGCGTCACCTGGATGATGAGATTATAGAACTTGGCTCGATGCTTTCGTAATTTGTCGCGATCAATGCGATTATTTGGGAGGTCTCGAATGCATGGTGGATATAAGGTATTGAGCATGGCGAGAGCATTTGGCTTGTAAAAGGTATGAGCTTTAAGTTCATGGAGCATTGTCTGTCAGATAAATGGTCAGCATGACCAATGGTCTTGAAGAAGCATATTCGCATACCCAGATTCGTAAATCAACGAAGCAAGTGGCATAGAAGCCTTCGATGATTGTCTCTTGAGCTTGAATATCTTCCACCCATTTTTTGGCATCAGG